ATGGATAATATCCTTTCAGGATTTTATCATCTGCTTCCTTATTAAAAACAAGTGTTCCTTTTTTCATCGTTTGCCAAACTGACAGTAACTCGTGTTTGTATCATCACAATCCATTTACTCTCACGTGCAATGCCATCCCTCCCTTTCAAGGTAAGCTTAATGGTTACAGAGCACTTGCCTCGCAAGCGGTAGGACCTGTGTTCGATTCCCAGGCTGAACGAAACATTGGGCAAGTTTCCTTACTCCACCCACCTGTGTTCCCCAATTGTTAGTCGTTTGGCGGATCGCTTTTCTGGGGGTAATAATCGCTTCAAAATAAATGAATAATAATTTAGTCAATCAGTCCACCATTGTTTGTGGGACACTGCTGTGTGCAATTGGCTGCTGGGTTTCAGCCACAAAATATACAGTAAATTCACTTTTAAGTATATTCTGTGAAGTACTTTGAGACGTCTTGAAGACGTGATAAGGTGCTATATCAAATGTGAGGAATATTATTAATATTAATATCACAGTAGGTTTCTCTTCCCCTCTTTAATGTGGAGGACAGCTTTGTTATCCCAATCCTGAAGAATACACATTTGAGTTTTTTAAAAAAAGTCATTGATAGCAATCTTTACTGGTCTCATTTACAACACATCATAAGTCTGCTTCCAAGATCTCTGGTGATGCCAAAACTAGGAGGGATGAAAGACTCCTGCCAAAAATATTATCAACCGGTTTATATAAGGTTTAGGCCTGGAATGTCAGGTGGCCAGCTGCTTCCTCACATGTGATCTGCCCTATCTCTGTCACAACTCCACTGATTTTCATTTCATATTATCCTGGCCCCATGTAGATTGTCTGGAGTTCAGTAGGCCCTTGGAAGACGTTTCAGTGAATTTGAGTACATCATATTGCGTATTACATGGGCATTGATCCCAATAAACTGGTTTACGCTGCATCTCAATCCACCTCTTGTTGAACTCTGAGGGTAACTTGCTGTTATTTTGTGTTTTGCAGCAGTGGGGTTCCCAATGGAGTCTATCACAAGCCAAATGCTAAACTAGCAAACTTTTTTGTGGCACATTACTATTACTTTCCATATAGCCGTCAATCCCCGTTCTCAGCAGGTACTGATCCAAGCTCCTGTTGAAGTTGGCAACTGATCAAAATTAGTTACTTCTATGTTTTCCGCGAAAGTGGTGAAGTGAGAAATAGAAGAAACTATAACCTCCAATATTTTCTCCTTTTCTACTTCCAAAACACTGATTGTCCAGTGCCTTAGGATGTCCTCCCAAAGTGAAAAGCGCTATACAAATATAATTTTGTTGTTGTTGTTCCGTTGACCAGGTTAAATATCATGCTCTCGACGTGAAAGGTGCTACATAAACACAATTATCAGAAATAATTTCTTGCTTCCATCAACTATCTGTGCTAGATATACAATTATATGAATCGATAAGAGAATCTGCTTGATCCCTTCTCTCTACTGCCATGTTCGGAAAGTTATTCTGTGAGTTTTTATGTTAAATTGTGTTCAGAGCTCAGTGAGTTCAGACACTTGAGTCTCATACATTTATGAACTGTGCCCTCTCTTGGGTAACACAAACCTTATCATTAATAATTCTTCGCTCTGCCTAACAACTCAACCATTAATAATGAATATGGCATTGAGTCGGCCTTCAACAGTTCTGTCTCTCTCAGAAAGTGGTAAGCATTAATTTTAGTGATGCTGGCAAAAACAAATTGAACCATCAATAGATTTATTGAACAGAGATTGAATTAAGTAATATAGCTTTCAGGGTGAAACCCACGAACACAGGGGTAAATGATCAGGAGTGATGGCAGAAACTAGTTTGAAACTAGTGACTATCCTCTTTGGGGGAGGTAAGCAGGTTCTCCTTGGAGCTGAACTGACTCCAGTGTAATATGCTTGACAACGGAATATCAGAATCAAGTCATTCCTCTGTGGCAGTCTTTGTAGTCCAATTCTTAAGCCAAGCGGTTTGCATTGTGGCTGATGATAGAACACTGATGATGACAGCTTGGTTCATAGGCAAGACTTGGAGGGTTACTGGGAGCAAGGATTCTTCCCACTCAGCTTCTGTTAACTCTGCAAGCCAAAGCCTTAACTTGTAAGGTGATCCTAGATGGACAACAACAACAAGATTATAGCGCCTTTCACATCGGGAGGACGTCCCAAGGCGCTGGAGGACAGTGTACAGCATTTCAGACCCAAGCGGGGGTCAGGGGGGGAGAAGGGATGGGAGGGGAAGGGTGGTGGCCGATGGCATGGTCGAAGAGGAGGGTTTTAAGGCTGGACTTGAAGGAGGCTAAGGAGGGGCGAGGTGGAGTGATTGATGGAATTCCAGAGGTTGGGGGCAGAGCAGCTGAAGTCTCTCCTGCCAATGGTGGGGCGGGTGGGTCGGGGGACATGGAGTAGGCTGAAGCCGGCTGAGCAAGGGAGCAGGCAGGTTGATAGGGGGTTAGGAGGTCACAGAGGTAGAGTGGGGCGAGGCCATGGAGGGCTTTGTAGGTAAGCAGTAAGAATGCTTGCCAGACAGTATTTTCAGTGGCAAGCTATGTAGTTAAAATCCAGCAGTATTACATCGCACACTCTGGGATCCCCAGGCCTCTTGCCAGCTTGCGTTAGTGTAATATCGGAATTAGGTAAGCAGGAGCAAGCGTCCCTCCAGGGAGTGAACGTGCACATTCCATTGCAAGACATGAGAATTTCCATGTGTAGGTGGAATGCATGAAACTCTTGGCCTGGTTCAGATACTCTTAACCACGGTTCTAGGTTTCTGCACATGTCAGGTTACTGTATGTGTTAGACACCTTGTTGACCACAAAAAGAGTATGAAATGTTGTGGCAACCTTCATTAGGATTTGTACAGCTCGAGAATTTAATGCCACCTCTCTCACACACTCCCCTCCTTTTAGATCCCTGTCCCTGTGCTTGGGGAGGGGCAGTCATTGTAAGGTAATTTCCTCTGCTTGTTTTAATCTCATTTAGTGAAAAAAATTGAAAGGTCCTGGGTTCATAATAATAAATGTATGACAAAGCCATTCATTATTACAAATACCTGAATAATGTTTCCCCTCATTATTCTTTCCTCTAGCGAAAACAAGGCCATGCCAGAGCCTTTGTTTCAATATTTTGATTCCTTTAAGCCTTGAATTATCTTACCCCAGTAGTGTTGTATGGGAGAGAAAACCTCAGTGTGTAATAAATCAGTGTGGAAGATGGCCAAAACCAAGAAACTTAATGGCCCAGCCAGAGTTATCGCTCTCTTTATTTTAAATGGTCTATTTTTTCCGTCTTTTCACACTTTTAAGTAATTCGCTATGACCTTTATTAAATCTCAGAATTTTTTTTTGCAAGAGACGATAGGTGAATCAAGTTGAATGCACCATTTTGTTTAAGGGTTGATATTGATTTTGACACAGCTTGCTCTCACCAATACGCTTGGGGAAGACTGTAGTGGTTTTCAGAATCAAATCTGAGTGTGTTATCAAGACCCATCTCAAGACCCTCCTCTTCGACCGTGCCTTCGATCACTCTGCTTCTCCCTCTGCCCTCCACTCGGGTCTGAAAAACTGACTATCCAGCCCCTTGGGACCTTCTCTCGATGTGAAAGGCGCTAAATAAATGTAATTTTATTGTTGTTGTTGTTGATAGATTTAAGTCAGCAGTGGGTCTTCAATGTGTAATTAATACAAAGCCAGAGTCTAAACTATTAAATATCTGGAGGCAAATTGACTCACAGTTCTATAGCTTCATTTGTATACAGTTTTTATTTGGATCGCTTCGGCAACTTTTCTTTAAAACCCTCAAAGTGCTACTTCTATGTATTTTTCTATTTCTTCCATTGTATCAATGTGCTGGTGTACATTGATTCTAGTCTCTCATCCCAGGAAAATGGAATTGCCACCTCAGTTATTATCAGAGGAGAGCAGAGTGGGGTAGTGACCTAGGACCTCCAATCAGAGCTTCATGCGTGTCCCCTGCACACAAGCCAAAGAGAAGCATTTGGCTGCCAGCTTCTTGATGTTCAGCATACAATTCTTCCAGGGTTCCTCCATGCATCGTGACCAACAATTGAGATTAATTGGTCATTTATTCATGGCTTTTTGTGGAGCAAATAACTTCCATGTTTGGCCCCAAAACTAGTCACTGCATGTGAAAATAATTACTTGGAAATTGGTGTTGATACGATGGGTGGATGTAGCCACGTCTTCTCTCACCAACACACGGTGGTTGGAGTACGTACTGTCTAAAAAGTGCAGTGTGGCATCCCAGGAAAATGGAATCGCCATCTCAGTTGATCATGATCATGGGAATACCACCACCTCCATGTTCTCCTCCAAGGCTCTCACCCTCCTGACTTGGAGATATGTCACCGTTCCTTCATTATCATTGAGACAAATTCGTGGAACTCTCTACTGAACTACTGTGGGAGCACGATTGCCACAAGGGTCCCAGTGGTTTAAAGAGAAAGCTCCACCACCATCTTAGGACAACCATGGATGGATGGACAATAATTGCTGCTAGTGTTGTCCACATCACGAGACAGAGCATTTAAGAAAAGCATTTTTTTTTTTTTTATTACAGCAGAAGATACAACTGTTTCTCCTGATAAACCGTTAATTCCAAGTCTCACCGTCTTTCAAACCAAAAATTATATACTAGTGCAAAATGCTGGAAAAAAGTGTGTGTCAATGTACATCAATAACAAATTCCGACTGTTTAAATCACCTTAGATGTACTGTGCTGTATTGTTCCTTGTTCTGTCTATCCTCCTTGGGGTTGGGGGAGGTAAGCTGGGTCTCCTTGGAACTGAACTGGCTCCAAGGTAATGTGCTTGACTTGCTTGTCCTTTGTAAACAAGCTTGCGGTCTGATGTGGAAAAATCTGCAGAAACAGAAATGAAGAAATGTATTTTTAAACACGTTCTATGGATTAGAGTGAGCGTACCCGTTCTCAAGTATGACCTTGTTGCTTGTTTTATCCACAGCCTGAATGTTCTGTTCACCTGCACCTGCGCTGGGCAGATAATCCGTATGTGTCAGGGACTGTTCACACCAAGGACTCCGCACCGGGACTTATTATGGGAGCAGGTAAAATTGATTCTCTATTCAGTAGACGACTGTTTAATATAAGATTTGTTTGAATGAACGTTTCTTCTGAACAATGTGGGTTTATACTCAAATGCAATCCTTCCTCATTCATTCAACATCCATGTATGGATGAGCATGTCATCCAAACAGGGAAGAAAACAATAGACTGAAGGATATTTTCCGTTGAGTTTGTATACCATAGAGAGTTGTGTCAACATTCTAGCTCAAAGTCTAAACTGTCACTCCAATGCGTGGCGAGGAGAACTGCATTGTCAGAGATCCCATGGCACTACTCAAAAAGAAAAGGGAATTTCTCCTCATGTCCAACAACCCCCTGATAAAATTGGTCATTCACTTTGTGGCTGTTTGTAGGACAATTGACCTCCGCGTTCACCTATGAAATACACAGTTACTACACTTCACAGTAAATCTGTGAAGAGCTTTGAATGACATGATGTAAGGATTATTATCAACAATTGGTGGAAGAGAACACTGAAAACAGTGAATCATTTGTTCACGTGTTCACACTAAACAATATATGTACTTTTTTGGGGTGACGGGGCTGTGTTCCTTACACAGTTCAAACAACTGAGTTCTTATCTCTCAGGAAACCTGGGTGCCCACCTGGTCGAATACAAAGAAGACATGTACATAACCTCTGACTGCGGCAACACATGGAGGCAGGTGAGCCGGGTACCAAGCGATCTTCTTTCATTCAAGTTTCTGAAGTTTGCAGTTGCCTCAGTGACTACTTTGTTCAGACACGGCTTTGCAACTCCCTTGTATTGACTCAAAAGGATATTATAGTTTAACTCAGGCCAAGTTTAAGAACATATGGAAGCTTCTTTCTTTATCTTGTCATCGGTGTTTCTTTGTCTTTCAATCTTCATTTAAAGTATTTACATCATGAAACTTTCATTCAAATCCAGATGTCTGCTCCTAACTGAAATGCAAGGATTATTATTATTATTATTATTATTATTTATTGCAAATGCCTGTACATGCATCGGCGAAACAGTCACCAATGTGTCAGCCATTGACAAGTCATTTGCATTAAATACCTAAAGTTAATTAATATTTTGTAAATAGATGGCACTAAAGCTATTTTAGGAACTGTGACCTGAAGTTGTGCTTGGGGTAAATCTCCTTGAGCCTCTGCCAACACTTGGCCATTCTCCATGTATGAGCCTTGGAAGACAGCATCAAAAGCCTGTTCAACTGTTGTTGGCATCATTACCAAACCATTCCTGTCTTCTCTCCATGTCCACCTGCGTGGAATCTCCATCAGATCACTGAATAGCGATCGGAAGAGGAAGCTTGGCTGATTTGTTTCCTCTCTGGAGCATTGAAGCCAAATATAGTTACCCGTAAAAAAAATACATCTTTTAAGGTGAGGTGCGGGGAGGGGGGGAATGATATCTTTAATCTGGTGTGTTAACTTAGTGCACAGGTCTGTTGTAAAAATATGTTCTGTGGTTCTTTCAATTCCACTGCCTTGACCTATCTCCATACCCCTTCAAACCTCTAACCTTCATCTAACCTAAATGTTGTTGAAGCTTCTTTTCCATGAACCTGTTGTATAGAGCTCAGGAAAGAGACTGAACACTGGCATATGATCTTCTCGTTTCCTCTTTTAGGTATTTGAGGAAGAGCATCATATTCTGTACCTGGACCATGGCGGTGTTATTGTTGCCATCAAGGACACCTCCATCCCTCTGAAGATACTCAAGTAAGAGCTGTATACATCCAGTCAACACATCCGGCAACTGCATTGGCTGTGAGGGATTCACTTACCTGCTGACCTTTTGTTTTATGCAAACTATTGATAAATAATTATTCAGTGGTTTCACAGAGTGACTTGATGCAAAATTGGAACAGTAGCACTTTGAGATTTTGATTGTGGTTTTGTTTTAAAACGTAACTTTATGAAAAAGGGCTAGTAAAATCGGTGAGCAACCTGCTAGAATGGGGATAGGTTCTGGGTTCACTGACAGACATAAAGTATCTGCCGGTGGCATTTTGGGTCATCCTCATGCCCGGAGTGATGCTCAGTGCTAATATCATTCCAGTTCTGCAAAGCAGGAGAGGATTATAGTCAATGATGATGCAGAAAACAAGCAGCACCTGGTGTCAAAGAGAAAGTATGATTAATTGTATCAGAAATAGTGAATGATTAATAATGTCACAGAGTAAGAGATCTGATCATTAGTGTAATGCTGTCACAGAGAGAGAATGAGAGAGAGATATCAGTAGTGTCACCAGCGGTGACCAATTGTACTGAACAGATATAATATATTGTCAGAAATAGTGAACGATTAATAGGATCACAGTAAGTGATCAATGATGACACAGAGAGAGTCACCAATGGTGTTCCAGAGAGTGATCAATGTCGTAGAGGGAGAGTGATCAATTGTATTGCACACAGAGAGTGAATGATCAATAATATCACAGAAAGAACAAGGGCTAGTTGATATGAAAGAGTAAATGATGCAGATAGCAAGTAGTTTAGGGTCACAGAGAGCAAGCTGCCTAAAGAAACAACTTGTAATTTTATAGCGCCTTATCATTTTGAAACATCTCAAAGCACTTCATAATAATAATAATCCTTGCATTTGATATAGCGCTTTTCACGTCGGGAGGACGTCCCAAAGCGCTTCACAGAACATACTGCAAAGTGAATTGACTGTATATTTGTGGGCGAACGCGGCAGCCAATTGCGCACAGCAATGTCCCACAAACAGTCGTAGATTGAAAATGACCAATTTATTATTGTTTTTGGTTTTTGAAGGGATTATTATTAGGCGTGTGGAGTAAGGAAACTTGCCCAAGGTTTTGCCCTGCCTGGAATTGAACTCAGGTCTCTCACTTGCAAAGCGAGTGCTCTAACCACTGAGCTACAGGACTCCACTAAGTATTTACTGTCAAACATAAGCAGTGACTGAATTACTGAATGGTGAATGGGTATGGAAATGTAGCTGCTGATGAGTGCAGTCCTGAACTGAAGTAACTGCGAGTATTTCTAAATAATTTAATTTAAATACATGGCTAAGACATTTAGATACAAGCAATGATTTGAAAAGTTCATGAACTGAATGTACTTCAGGCTTGGTAGCACCGCCTATCAAAACCTAGTGCCTGCAAGAATGATCTTTAAATCGTAACACTATATATTCAATGAAACCATAGGAAGTAACAAGATTGTTATATCTGAAATATACAACAGTCGATGGACTGAACTGTGTTGAACACAGTTGACCGAACTGAGCTCTCTTTCTTGTACAGGTTCACTGTAGACGAAGGACATACCTGGACAACGCACAACTTCACCAGTACTTCTGTCTTTGTGGATGGACTGTTGAGTGAACCGGGCGATGAAACACTGGTCATGACGTAAGTATTTCAAAATTGCTGCTCATTGTTCTCGGTTGGCATTATCTATCATGGCGTGAATTCAAAGTCTCGGAAATGTTCCAAAATAAGCTGTAGATCGATCCTTTAGAGCAGGAAAAGCTTATTCCACCAAGGTGGTGCAAATGTAATTTTTCCAATCCTCTGTATTCTATTGTAGAAAAGTGATTGGAGTTCATTGTCCTGACCTTCAAATCTTTCCACGATCTCACCTATCTCTATACAATTATTTCAGACTTTTCTTACCTGTAATCTCTGCTCCTCAATTCTAGTCTATTGCTTGTTCTTCACTCCCTCTGTCCCACAACTGGTGGCTTAGCCTTCAGCCACTGTCCTCTTGCCCACTGAAACTCTCTTCCATAACCTCTCCCCTAACGTCCTGTCTCTCTATCCTCAAAACTCTCTGAGAAAAAAAGTATCTTTTCAATCATAGTTTTGGTCACCATCCCAAAATGTTCCTTTTTCGACACTTAGGGCTCTCTATCATTGTTCGTTAATTACTTTGAGACATTCATTTTACTCGAAATCTGCTATATAAGTACACGTTGTTGAGAGATTCAAGAGAATGTATTTAAAGAGAGAAAGGCAGTAGTTTGCTGTACAGGATACTCACTTAAAGAAGATAATTGCGGCTGGAACACTTATTCCAGCTGATCAGTCACGATGTATGGTGATGCCTCAGATATCCTGCCTTCTGTACTGTGAAAAATGTGACCAATTTATTGCATACACAAAAAAATTCTGCATGATTTACTTCAATGGATTACAAATCTTTCTGCCACTGTGCGATTCCAGCCATGTTACAGCTCACTGTGTTTCTCCGGGGTCTATTTAAAAAAAGAAGAGCAGGGGCTTATAATTTTCTCAACTCCTTAGCAAATTCATGCATACAACAACAATGGTGATTTCAGAAAGCCTTTGGACTGAGCTCACAAGCAACAGAACTCTCTGTTTTAAACATAGGATCTTCTGGATTAGTGAGAAATCTCATGCCTGGAAGCAGAGCACAGCTTGCACCATCAGGTGAAGCGTTTCTGATGTTTGAGAAGTTCTTTGTTTTAAAGAAAGTGACAATGAAAAATGAATTTGCTTGAGGAAAAATAAACCTCTGTGGCCAGCAAGCTTCAGTGAATGTCTGATTAGGTAAAGGGCTTCCATTGACAACCATTCCTACATCAATTGTAGCAAGAGACAGAACTTATATTTTTATAGCACTTTATCATGTTGATAACCCTTCATAAGTAATTAGTGTCAACTGTAGTGACTTTTTTGTAAGCAAACATATGGCCACTTGCATTGGTACATATCTACAAACAGCCAGGGATGAAATGTCCATGTAATCTTGAAAATTGTTGACCAGGGCACAAGGAGAAACTCCCTTTTTTGAATAGTGTTTTGGAATTTTTAATATTTACTTGAACATTTAGTTCTATGAACTTAGTTTAATGTCTCATTTGAAAAGGACTCCAACACTCCCCCATTATGTACTGGGCTATCAGCCCAGGCTATGATTTAATGCACCACAGTAGGCTATGTCTGAATCCACAACCTTCTGACCCCGAAGCAAGTTGACCTCTATGAAATAAGCAGTTGATCCACTGCATCCCAGGTTATACATTCTCATCTGTAGGCTTGTACAGAAAGGACCCTTGACCAGGATTCTAGAAGTCTTCAAAATGCTCCCTCTGCTTACATATTCCAGTTGTTCAAATCCCTAAAGCCTCATTAATGCCAATGTTGTATATTTCCTCCCTTCCTCTTAAAAATCCTTCCTCGCTCTTAAGCCACTCAGTGGCATGTTTCCAGCAGTAGCCTTCGTTCTCTGGTATTTTAGAAGAGTTTAGTGTGTTTTGAATTCTGCCTTTTGCTGGCACTATAAGGCCTGATTTATAATAATAAGAATAAGTCTAAATTTAATGTAGTCTTTCACATCAGGATGACATCTCAAAGCACATTATAGGATGAATTGACAAGTGCACTGAGAATATGGCAGCCAATTTGCACGGTAATGTCTTACAAACTACCATGAAGTGAATGATCAGTTTTATTTGGGGGATTGTTGGCCAGGACACCCACCTGCTTTCAAATAGTGCTGTTTCGATCTTTAACATCCACCTGAATGGTACAGTGACCTCGGTTTAATGTCTCATCTGAAGGAAAGCACTACCAACAATTTAGCTCTCCCACTGCACTGGAATGTTATCCACTCACTGCTCAAAATGAGCTTGTGTATGTGGAGTGGGTGGAATGGAGAGGTTATATTGTGCTATTACAACTGTTGCTTTTATATTCTATTAAAGTACAGCGTTGCATATTTTCTTGTGCTCAGAAATTTCCTAAATTAGGAAACTATTATTCCTTCCTTTAGACACATGTAAGGTTGCTGTACCTGCTTCACTCGCCATAGCTGGGCCTACTGCATATATAGAACTACAATGAGGAAGCAAAGACATCTTGTTTAAAGCTCGAACACCTTCACTAGCCAGTGGGTAAAGGCACTGCCTGATCCCTAAGCCAAAACAGATGTGAAGGTTGCAAGATGGAAGAAGAGCATCACTGAAAATTAGTAATGCCACTTTCTTCCTAAATCTGCACCCACAAGCTAAACAATGCATGAGATGTGGAACATGGGTTAAACTACTGGCGCTGAAGGGATCTCAAGTGGTTAGCTTGACAGGAAACGTCTTACAAGCCTCTTTTCTTTTATTCATTTGCACACATTGCCTTAATCTACTTTTACCCTAATGAGACATGTCAGTTTCTGCTACAAAAGCTATTTATGGAACCAGCCCAGAGCTAGATTCAGAAACAACATCTGTGAAGAGTTTTTATTCATTGTAATTATTCATACCACTTATTAGCAATAATGGGGTGAAAAGTGGGACATGTGAAGTGATAATTATCACATCACACGTTGTAATTTTCCACACCACATTTTTTTTTTGCAGTGGTCTCATTTCATTTAGAAACAACAGTTTCCCTTTTGCCCAAAGAGTCAGTTTTCATAATGGTTGTTAAGAAATTATGTTAGCCTGGCTCAGTTGGCAGCACTTTCACCTATGAATCAAATGATGTGGGTTCAAGCCCTGTGTCAGGACCTTGAAATCATATAATACAATTGAATTCATGAAGCCTAGCCTGACACTCGAGTGCAATGCTTAGGTATTGATGACAGGTGAGACCTCCTTCGGATGAAACATGAATCTGAGGTCCCATCTGCTTGCTCAAGTGAACATTAAAGATCCCATGGCATTATCTGAAAGGAGAAGGGAGTTTCTCCCAGTGTCCTAGCCAACAATCCCCAGACTTAAAAAATTGTTATTCATTTCCTGGCTACTTGTGGGACATTTCTGAATGCAAATTAGCTGCTACGTTTTGCCTACAAAATACAGTGGCGAAACCTATATGATATCCTGTGAAACTCTTTGAGATCTTCTCTCAACATGGGACAAATTATCATTAATATTAAAATACTTTTCTTTCATATACTTTAATTCAGGCTTTGAGGTTTGCTTGCCAAATACACAGCTGGTACACATTGCAGTAAATCCTGTGAGGTCCTTTGAGACATTCTCTAAATGTGAAGGATACTATATCAATTTTTTAAAATTATTATTATGGATCTTGGAAAGCAGGCAGACAGAATGCTTGTAATCCACTGAGTTGGCTAAAACAGCACGACTGTCCACCAAGAGAAATTAATTAAATTACAACCAACAAGAAGCACAGCTTTGCATGTGGGATAGCAGCACAGAGCCCTTTAAAAAATTATGAAGTAAAATTTGCAGTATTCCTTAAATTAGTGCAATCATTGATCAGCTCATTAAATTTTTGGTGTTCATTGTGATCTTGGCATTCCTGGCTTTGATACTACCCTGACTAACCATTGGTGGCAGTGTCATTGTTTTCGCCTCTTGATCATGAGCGCCAGAGTCTAAATTATCAGGGGGAGGGAGGTTCGGGGGAAACCCACAACTATATTTACTTACATGGCCCCAGTATTGATAGATATCAATCAACAGCTTGACATTACTGAACTCTTTTAAAGTTTTGCTGTATATGTATATCCTTTGGTTGGGACATTTGGGATGCATTACAGAATGTCACAAATTTCTCCCAGTTGTATAAGTGCTTCCACAGCTAATTGCTTATATTTCTGCTACTTTACAAGGTCCACTTGTTTTCTGGAGTTATACATGTAGTTTAATTAAGCGAATCATTACAATTTTACAACAGCACTATGGATCATGATTCCAATTGATCGAAAAAAGATTTGAAATGCTCTTTTTAATATGCCCATCGATAGGTTATTTCATTGGTTTACTCCCCAGGTTGCTGTTGCGAATTTAAATTAGATTAGTTTCAGCAATAGAATTACAATCCCCTGGGTCAATTTGTCATTTGCGCAGCTCCAGGCATGTATTTGGTTTGAGAGGCTCATGACCAAGCTCTTTGACAGGGTCACCCGTATTCCTTAATCACGCTTCTAGTGAGGAGAAATCCCTCTCCATCCTTTCTAATAATTCCAACAAAATAATAATAATCTTTGCATTTCATATAGCACCTTATCACATCACTCAGACAACTCAAAGTGCTTCACAGAATATACTATAATCGAACCTGGGTCCTCTCACTTGCAAGGCAAGCTTGCTGGATCCTGCTTTTCTTTGTGCAGTGTTAAGAATCTGGTTTGAATACATTCGCTGTTGTCAGGCACAGGAGGAATTACACGACCATACTCAGGCTGACCTAAAGTTTGAAACTCCATCAGTGATTTGGCAATTCTTTTTTTTGGTGTGTGTGTATGGTTCCTGACGTCTATTATTTGTCCCGGATTTTAAGACCAAAATTTCCTCTCCTTTTCTCTTTCTGATTGTTTTGCTCAGACTATTTACTCCAAACCAGGGAGTGGCCATGCGACCAGCACTGACGAGAATAAGGAACAGATGGCATGTCACTCCCAAAGCTGCTATCATGCGACTTTAGCAAAGGCTTGAGGGCAGCCTGAGGTCCTGACCACTGGATCTAGCTCACCCCAGTGAGTGGGGTTTGGAAGAGAGGCGGAGAAAATGAAAAAGATTGTCATAATGCACCAAATGTAAAAATTAGAATGTAGTGAAACAGAGAATTACATACAGCAGCCAGTACTTCATCCAAGGAAATAAAAGATCACAGAGAACATAAAGAAGTAATGTGTGATGAGGTCAGGTCTTAGAGTTATGAATTGATTTGTATCTAGATGTTGCTGCCAGTAGGAGAACACAGTCCACAATGATTGAAGTGTTCTGCGACTCTGGTAAACCTCAGTCAAAGAATTCAGTTTTGACCCTTGTAAACCACTGGAATTTTTTCTGGTGAACACCAGTTTCTGCCCAAGCTGTAGGTGTCTCCTTTACAGATGTTTCAATGGATGTTCCAACTTCCACATCTGGATATCGGCAGAATTCACTGGTTACAAATTCTGCATCTTGGACAAATTAGACTTCAATGTAGAGAGTGTTTCATGTATCCTGCAACTGTAATTCTTAAAGCTGAATGCCAGAATTAGTTTTCAGTCCATCACTTTACGAAGAATAAAGATAGGTCATTCATTACCTCATTGAGGGTAGGAGGTCTTAAACTGGCTTTTCATCAACCTCTGCCCAAAGGTAAAGGACATTATTGGTGGACTCAACCTGGGTGTCTGTTATCATTATCCCAAGATGAACATGAACCTAGTGTTGAGTAAATCTGTTCGGTTCAAATAGGCTTGATCAACACAGAACTTAGTTGGGAGCAAATTAGTTTCTGAGTTTAACGAACTTGCCTAAAATGCATGTTCGAACACTGAAGCTGCTTATAAGTGACTAACGGGAGCCTGGTAAGGGCTGCACTGAGGTACAGGACCTTCCTGTGGGTTATTAGTGCCCCCATGTGGAAGCTAGAAAAACTGTTAAGAAAATGCACTGGAGTGTTTTTTTTAATATCATAGTTGAAAGAGCTGTTCTTCAGAATGTCTTTTTCAAAGGGCAGCTTGTACTTACAATGGCATTTCACTCTGAAAAGTATCAGATGAACTGTGGTCCATGTACTCCTGACTCTGTACAGAGATGGATATGCAGTTCAAATACAGTGCAACAATGTTGAGAATACAATAAATAGCTGCTGTTCTCTGGCCTAGTCTCATCATCTACCATACTTCAAGGGAGGAGCATTGCACGGATCAGTGGGATGGGAAAAGTGTGACTTGTTGGCTGGGGCTATCGATCTAATAGGCATTGGATGTTTTCCAGTATATCAGATATCTGGGAACCTAGAAAGGGAGTGTCCTGATGGTCATCAAAGCCAAGTCCTCATCCAACAACCACAAACGCTCACTTACCAGCTTCCTAAATTTCTCATGGCCCCCAGGTTAAGACTGTAAGATTGCACACTATTTGTAATTTTACAAAATTCTGCACGACACATTTCAAGACTGAAGCAGTGCAGGCCAAACTACAGCATAAGCATTCACACTAGTCTAGGAAACTCCATGTTTGGTTGGTAGTGTGTTTCCAGGTTTTGTTTGATTGAATATTTCTTGATTTATGGCATTAATGAAGAAAATTTATTTTGATAGCCGACCAAAAATATTGGCTACCGTTGCTTAAAAGGCTCAAAACGAGAGTTTTCTGGGCTCTGAAGCAGAGAACTCAATTGATTTTTTTCTCTTTAAAAGCTGATTGTGGTGTTTTCAGTGCTGCTTTGACTGAAATCAGATGATACACACCAGGGGTCAAAGGTCTATGTGGCTTAGTACTCACTGAATGCATTTGGTGAATCCTTAAGATGGCCATTAAGGACACTACCAGTGATAAATGTGTAGCAAAAATTGTGAGTGCACATTCCAAAAACAGAAGAAATTAACTTCTATTCCAACATCTCCTTGAGTAAATATTAACTGTAATTTGCTCTGTAATTTCCAAATAAAGGAAGTTTCACATTCTCCCATCCACTTGAGGTAAAGGATATCACAAGGTACTTGCACATGGGTCAAACAAGAATAAAAAGGGAGTAATATAGACAGGAAGTTCAGTTTATTATCAATAAAAATAATAATCCACATTGTCAGAGGTATAGTCCTTCAGATGAGACATTAAAATTAGGTCCTGCCTGCCTGTTCAGTTGGATGTTAAAGATCCCATGGCACTATTTGAAAAGAGGTTATTATGAATAATAATCCTTGCATTTGATATAACGCCTTGTCACATTGTCGAAACATCTCAAAGCATTTCACAGAATTGTTAATACGAATTGTAGTGACTGCGTCTTTTTAGGCGAACATGGGAGCAAATTTGTGCACTGCACAAACAGCTATGAAGTGAATGACCAATTTATCTGGAAGATTTCTGGCCAAGACACTTCAGCTTACTCTGAGAGCTAGTGCAGACTTGTTCCTTCTTGCACTGTAACTATTTATGATTCTACATTCCTGTGACCATCAGTCACCAAAATCTGTCCAGAGGTTTATTTTGTAAATTGTTGTTCAGCTTTGATTTATTTGTCTGACCTCACATTTCTGCTTCCAGGATCTTTGGTCACATCAGCTTCCGCTCAGACTGGGAGCTAGTAAAAGTGGACTTCAGACCGACTTTCCCCAGACATTGCTTACCTGATGACTACGACTCATGGAATCTAATGAATCAGGTACCACATCTAACAATCATCCTGGCACACTGCTCTGTAAATACGAGTGGGATTTGAAACACACCCAGGATAGACTCGGGGAAAGGGGGCACAGAGCTAAGAGGAGGTACAGAGAGCAACAGGGTGCAGAGTACCATTGACATATGCTTGCCCACTCGGCTGACTGGGAGGCAAGAAGTAAGAGAGAGGAGGGAGATTGAGTTGGTTAATTTAAACGTCATGAATTTGCACAAGGTATTGATGACCTGGGAATTCACTGGAAATGATAATCCTATCACCTCCTTCTAATTGTTCACACGTGGGTCAAATTTGCAGTATTTCTTAAAAACGATTGCATGACTGGAAATGCAGACTCCTTTCAGCAACCAGAATTACATTCCCCCGACATAAGGAAACGCCAAACGAACAAGGAGAGGTGTCTCCAGGGGTCAATGGGAATTCTAAGAGAGGAATCCAATTACCAAATATCACAATGGTTGATGGTTGATGCCATGAATTTGTTTACAACTGGTCAATCTTGTCGCTGGTCAGAGCTGTCATCTTAGATTTACCAGAAATCAATACAGAGGAGAAGCTCACACTGTCATTCTGCCAGCAGATAGAAACATCCACTCCATCATTCATGCATTCAGTGTCTCTGCTTTCTCTTAGATCATATATGCTGAGTTACAGTAAGAGCAGTTGACAGTGTCACTTTCAGGCTAGTGTTGGCTGAAGATCCCCACGAGATACCCACTCTGTAAATAGCATAATAAGGACTAAAAGTATCAATATTGTAAATGCATTCTCAAGAATCTTGTTATCTTATATAGTATCCATTGTAGTTTGGACTATTCCAGGCCAGGTTGATATTTTAGTAATATACTATCACATTTACAGGGATATTGCCCGCAAAATACACAGTAATTCCACTTTACAGTATATGCTGTGAAGCGCTTTGATAAGTCTCAACAACGTGATAAGGTGCTATATCAAATGCAAGGATTAATATTACATCGCGAGGTACCTTTCTTCCAGCATGTGATACAGTTTGCACTGTCACTCCCGATGGGTGCTTTTTAAGACTCTAGCAGTTTATGTAACAGTTTGGTCAGATTCTTTGTGAATTTTCTAACAGAGTTGCTCTCACAGTATGGCACGATTTCTCTTTAAACAAATCTGAACCGCTGAGGAGTCCACCCCAAACCACTGTGGGTTCACTGACCAACAATGTCTCCCTGTTTAGGCCGAGCACTGTATCATGGGTGAGCGGAGAGAGTTCAGGAAGCGGAAAATATCTTCGTGGTGCATTAAAGGAAAGAACTTCACATCTGCTGTCACATCCAAACCTTGCCAGTGCACAGACTTCGACTTTGAGTGGTAATTATCCCTTCATTTGACAATTTCACCGCACTTCCGGTGAACTCCCCCATCCTCCCCCCCACCACCTTATCCCCATACCCCTGACCGGCTCGGGTGGCCGGCCGGCCAGCCAGCTGTGGGAAGTGCTTTGAGACATTCTCCTGACGTGAAACCACACCGTATAAATTAAACTGTATTCTGTTTGCACACGAGGCTGCTGAGTACAACGGAATTTCGCACAAGATTAGAAATTGCCAGATGTGAGAGATTAGCAGTCACATAATTGAAGCACTGTAATACTTGATCTGTCTGCATTGTGCCTATGTGGGATTCGAGAGATACAGTTGTGTGGGAATATATGTGATGTACAGAGGCCAACGCTACCTTGTGTAGTCTTAACATGCATTTCACTATAACATATGGCAGCTTTCATATCCTTAAATTAAATCTCAGTATCGCTGTTTGTCAAGTCACGTGACTCCATTGCAGAGCCTGGGGATGGCCATTCACTACGACACTCCATTAACAAAGATCAGATAAAAAATTGATGCTAAAATGAATTCCACCTAACTTGTCTATGTAGAGTTTCCTTGTTTGCCTTCTTTGTTCAGCCTGCCATTTGCTCATTTTTATGTTTAATTGGATTTTATTTGCAGCGACTATGGGTTTGAGCAGCAGAAAAATGGCCAGTGCTTCCCAGCATTTTGGTACAATCCAGATGCCCCCTCTGAGCATTGCAGATTGGGACAGACCTACACCAGCAGTTCTGGGTAAGTACCAGCATGTATGTCCAGAAAGAATATAAATCTTGACCAGGCAACCTCACCACTCTGGTCTCACTCCTTCCCCAACAAACAAAAAACTGTATTTCGATATTGTAAGAGATCACAAAACAGGTTCAGATGAAGAAGGCCCCTTGATCTCATCCTTTCAGAATAACAACCCGAGCATCTTCCCACCCAGGTTACGTGCATTCTTCTCGGTCCATTGTTATTGGAGAGTCGGCCCGGAGAGGGGAGAGCCAGTGGATATTTATTAAATTTTCTCTTATTTAAGTTAAATTGTTGACAGTGGAAATGTAAATTGGTTGCTATTGGACAGAAGGCATCACATTACATTTTGATTGACAGGAGTTCTTTTGGGAGCCTTCTAGAAATGTCTGAGAAAGAAGTGTTTCTAATGTTTCTTTAACCATACTTCTGGTTATTTTCTCCCTCCCCCGCACTGTTGAGACATCTTCTGAAAGGTGCTCTCTAAATGTAAATTATATTGTAATGGTTCCAAATCCTTACAAAATCAGCTATGGTTGCATAATTTATATTTTTTTTACCCTATTTTTATCAAGCGCCTGCACAGGAAAGGAATAAATCTCCTGTCTCTACCAAAATTATTATATAGATTCTCTCTCAGAATTTTGGACTGGGAACTCATGACAATTAAAATTCAGTTCCAAGCAGAAATATTCCCCAATTATCTTGGATTTGTGCTCAGCACATTCAATGCGCTTTAAGAAATATCACACACATTACAAAATATGTACCTGGAAGACAACAGTGCATTTGAAAGAATTCCTGTTGTTTATGGTTTGGGCCGAATTCCTACATGAATGATTGAACAGCCCAAGGTTAAGGATGTGCAAATTGCTTTTGTGTTATCAGTAGTTTATGGAATGAATCAAAAGCACACAAGTGACAAATATATCAGAATTCGAATGAAAAATAGTGTCCTTCCCATAATACCTACAGGTGTTCCCTTCCCACCCACTGCCTCAAACTTTATTTGAGAAGGGTCTTTCAGAGGCTCTCTCCTGAGTAGAAAAGGACCTGGGAGGCAGCATTAAAGACAACGGAAAAAACCCAAATAATTTGTATGTAATACCCAGTGCACCAAAAAAACCTTCGTCTACCTCTTAAAATTCTGTGGCTCTGTGAAAGCTGTTGCTGAAGCTGAACTGTGTGTATTTTGAACAGGTACAGAAAGGTGGTGCTGAATGTCTGTGAAGGTGGTGTGGACAAACAGCAGGGTTCAACACAGCACCAGTGCCCACTAATGGCCCCCAAAGGACTTCGTATTGTCACTAAAGGTGAACGGCTGGCGGTCAACCCGGGTGATGATGTTACCTTCATAGTATCACAGGACCAGGTAAATACGGTGACTTCTGATTCCACCAAAGGAACCCGTTTTGGTCAGAAACATTTATAAGGATGTTATTAATAATAATTCTTGCTTTTGATATAGAGCCTTATCAGGTTGAATTTAGCTCAAAGCACTTTACAGAGGGTTACAGAAATATCTCATAGACAGACAAGATGTGAGCAAACAATTTTTTTCTGGCGGATTATTAGTCAGAACACCGGGAGAAACTTACTTTTCTTTTTCGAATAGTGCCATGGGATCTTTTAACTTGAACAGGCAGACAGGACCTCAGTTTTAACATCTCACCTGAAGGCGTCTGACAAACCAGCACGCCACCAGGACTGTACAGCAGCATCAGCCTAGACTGTGAACTCGAAGTCCTGACGTTCATCTCCGTACCTCATTTGGTTGAAGCAAACATTAGGATGTGAGAAATCTATGAACTTTGTTGCTGTCCAATTTCCCCAATCCTTCTGCTCTCCCTGAAACTACCACAATCAAACTCCTATGCATCAGCCTATATTTTACAAGCTTCAAGATTTCATGTTTCTAAGCCCTTTAGTATATACCACTCCAAGGCAGCCAAGTTTGTGATATTTGCTTAATCGGTATGATTGAAACTTCTAGATTGAGTCTGTGAAATGTGCTGTGAAGTTCACAAACTGGAAGCTGCGATTAACACTACAAATCTGTTTTACGAATATTGCAAACTACACCCAAACATTGATATCAACACGGCTAGTGAGCAAATCTCTCAATGGCAGCCAGGGTGGTAAAAATTGTGAAATTAACAATGTCTTAACAGGGGAGGAAACCTGTTATGAGTTTGTTTTTAAATCCCACAACCTGAAATACTATTTCCTTCAATGTACCTAGAATGCGATATTCACAACAGACACAAATGGGATCTTTTGACTAAAGCAATATGAGCCAATCTTTAGGAACATGGGACTGCCCAGGTCCTAGAAGAAGTGCTGACGAGAGCAACAAGCATGATGCTAAGTGTTAGAGTATGAGCAAGATTAAAAAAAAGCTCAGGCTCTTCAGCCTTGAGAGAAGATTTCTCAGAGGGGATCTCATAGAGGTGTATAACCTATTAAATCTTTCCCAGCATATCCTTCAGATGAGACTTTAAACCAAGGTCCCACGTGCCTGTTTAGACGGATGTTAAAAGATTCCACGGCACTATTGAAAAAGAGAAGAAAGTCTCAACGAGTTCCCTGGCTAACAACCCCCCCCCCCCAAGTGAAATTGGTCACTCAAATCATGAGAGTTTGTGCGACATTGCTGTGTGCAAACTGGCGGCTGCATTTCGCCCACAAAATACACAAATGAATCCACTTTACAGTATATTTATTTTGTAAAGCGCTTTGAGACATCTCGACAAAACTATATCAAATGCAACAATTATTATTATTATATTATTGCACATCTATTCCAGGCAAGGTATTTCACTACTTGAAATTTCATCCAGTTGGTTGCTCTACATTTTAACATGTTCTGTTTGCCAACACAAAGCCACTATTTGTCAATTATCCTTTTTTATGTAAAAATAATGATTTCTACCATCATCCTTCACATCTTTCACTCTTCTGAAGACAGACTTATGAAACACTCCAAATGTCACCACCAAAGCCTTAATAACTACATCTCCACAACATCCCTGGGAAAGTTTCAGTTCCTTATAGACACCTCCCTGGAGGGTGCTGTGTGTGTTTATTGTGTGGGCAGTTGAGAATAGGTTGGGCTCAGCTTCAATAACTCCTCCCACCCCCATTGAATAGCCTATATGGCCTCCCAAATTAAAAAAAAATTCTGTGAGTTGGAGGGGGAGGGAAGAGGTAAGGAATAAGTCTTTTAACAGTCAGTGCTGATTCCAGACGCACCTCCCTGGAGCTTCAGATGACAAGCAACACCACCATCAAAGCTCACCAGGACCGTGTGGAAATGAGTGCATCAATATGCATATGGAAGTGCCAAACTGCAGTTTGTGTTTCTAAGCAGATCAATTACCAATTGCCTTCAGTGTTTGCTTTAGCTCTGACGTAGGTTGGATGAGTAAAACTGAGTGCATATGTTAATAACATCTCAATTGCTCCCTCGTATTGTCTCCATCCTTAAACATGCATCTCTGAATGATCACAGCATTCTATTATTAGTGCAGGCCTGATCTAATCTGTGGGCAGCTGAATGGGATATAAAAATCATCAACACTTTATAGTGGACTCCAGCGCTGACCCATCAAACTCCCATTTCAATCTGGAAGCCTGATCAGGCAATGGTTTCTAGTATTTGGATATTGCCTCTGCAAAGCCCATATTCTCTGCTGCTGAAAATGTACATTGTGAATTTTAAAACTGTGAGTGGAACTGTGCTTAAAGAGAGAAGTAAAATAATTTAATGATACATTTTCTGCAAGTAATTCAACCTGTCAGATTGAGGCAGGCAATTCATCCATTACCAGTAATAGTCCAAAGAGTGTGATTGTGGCATATTGAGGAGATGACAGCTGACTAAAATTGAGTTTAGTGGGAATTTACAACTAGTGTATTAATCTGAAATTTCACAGTGGCATCTTCAGAATCAAAATATTTAAAGTAGAACTACTCAGGTTTATGAAGTCAAGAATTCAATTAAAATAATTCATGTAATCCCTTTTCCTCTTCTACTCAATCATTATAGATTCAGAGGAAAAGAAATGCAGTGTTTCATAACAAAGGAATTAATCATTAAATGTGTTAAGGTGCCAGCCTGTCTTAGTTAGCAGCATCTTGCCTCTGAATCAAAAGACAACATTGGGACTTTGAACTCATAATCTAGAATGACACTCCAGTGCAAGAACTGGGTGAGCACTACATTGTCAGAGGCATTATCCTTTGGATGAAACTGCAACCCTTCTGCCTGTTCGGGTGGATGTTAAAGATCCCATTGGCACTATTCAAAATGAGAAGAGAATTTTTCATGGGTGTCCTGGTGAACAATCCTCCAGGGACCATTCCTGTGCACAAATTGACTGGAATATTTGCCTAAAAATACAGTCGCTACACTTCATTGTGTTTCTTTTTTGAAATTCTGTATTCTAACTAAAACTGTTGCCTTAAAATTTAGAATTATCCAGAATTTGGGAAAATTCTGAAACTCAATCTTAATTTGGAAACTGTTTTTCCGCAGTTCTCTGTACGGAGTGGAGGAGGGGTTAAAAATTATTGCTGTGTGAAAATTGGATGCCATGTTTGCCTTCAAAAATATAATCACTACACTTTAAAATAAATACTGTAAAGCACTTTGAGACATCCTTCTGTTATGAAAGGCCTTCATCAAATGCAAGGATTATTATTTATTAAGGTTCAAAATGCAAGATTCGTAAGGCACAAGCTGTGATATTGCCAGCATTTTGCTTTCCGTCCATTTCTCGGCCAGGATAAAGATCCACAGAAATGTGGAGCAAAAGCTTCACTGATAACAAAATGGTCTTTGCTGGATCTCTGGAATCCCGATTTATTAGAGAATTTGTCCTTGAATTTGTAAGAGGATCTCGAATTTTGCAAATTGAACTTCAAATTTAATGCAATAACTTCCAGCTTGCAAATATCGCATTTTCATCCCCAACATCTGTTTTGTACGTACAATAGATTGTTTGTATGACCAGTGCCATTAATAATGACTACTTAGAAGAGTGAAAATTCCTTGGATTTTATTGTGTAGTGTGTAATAAATACTTTTATTGAGACAAATAATAAACCAGGTCATGGTTGTAGAAACACATCTGGCACTATTTTAACATCCGTCTAAGCAGCCAATAAATTAAACTGAGTTAATGTGGTTTGATGCTTCCCAAATGCATTACCTCAAATAGCTCCTCATTTCCATGTTTTTTTTAAAAAATCATCTTGATTAACATTAATCGGGCTATCAGTGTAAAGCACAACTTGTGTACAAATATACACCTGATGGGAAAGAGACCGTAATTTGCTCTCAATTGATAAGTGAACTGAGCCTACATACCTGGGCTGTGGTTGTGCCCTTTCTGAGTGATTGTGTCTAATTTGAGCAATCTAATGCATGATCTTTCTTTCATGTCATAAGAACATAAAGTTCTAATGTCAGGCATCTATGTGATCTTTTATCTCAAAGCTAAAACTGCCTCTTTCTGTTCTGTTGTCAGGGTGATACGTTAAACACAAAGTATCAGGTGGATCTTGGTGATGGCTTTAGGGCCATTTATGTCAATCTCACGCTCATGGACGAACCAATTCTACACAGATATGAGAAACCAGGAATCTACCGTGTCTCTGTCAAAGCAGAAAACAGTGCAGGGTCTGATGAAGCAATGGTATACATCCAGGTTAACTGTAAGTTTGTCATTCGTTCAGCATGTGAAAAGCATCTTCAGCCCCAGTTACATCCAATGAGGATGTTTTTTGATAATATTTCACAAATATGTCATTGATTTCCGAATTTGGTTTCAATCATTGTATTTTCCTTACTGCCCAATGTTGCCAACAGCAACTGTGAGCTATTGTATGGTTTTGAAGACTTTCCATTGAGATATGTGCTAGTGGGTTAGAATTCTACCCATTCATTTCTGTGACCTGGGTTTAATCCAATCTGGATTTATAGGATCGAAGCTTCACTTCTTTGTTGGCTGATATTTTGTTTACTACAAGCTGGCATTCCACTAACCCAGTGGGCCACGGGACAGTATTCAAGTTCAGTATCTCATACCTGGTCGACCACTAAGTTGAGCTCATTATTGTAGTAGAGGGAGTTTTACTTTGCATCTTGCTGTGCTGACACTAAATGGTGATATTTTGCTTCTCTCTTTGAGTGATAATCATTCATTGCTAAAGGCATTTCAATTGGGTGCCCAAAACAAGTAAAGTGTTCCACTTTCCTTCTCTAACTTGCCTTATGCAATTCAGCATAAATAGTGCACAATTTAAAGAGAGTAATTTCTGCAGAAATCACAAGACAGTTTGTAGATTCAAAAGCCCGAATCATTGCTTCCATATTGTGTTGAGGAGAAGTGTGAAGTGATGAACTGACTAAAATGTGTAAAATATAATTTGCTGTTGGAATGCTTTGTGGCCACGTTTCCTATAGAGATGCTGACAATGTGTTAACATTGTCTGCTTTCCTCAGCACCTCTCCAGGTGGTGCACTTGGAGGTGTTGCCTGTCCTTCGCAGAGGCCAACTAATGAATCTGACAGCGTTGGTTCAGCCCAGCAACTCTAACCTAACAGTTTTCCAGTGGTGGCTAGGGGACAATCTCCAGGTATACTACCAAATATACATTTCAAATACCTCTTCTATTAAATACTATTAAAGTATGTTGTTAAATTGCTGTCCATTTCTCTGTTTTTCTGTATCTTTATCTACAGCCTCGCCTTTCCCTGGAAAACAGCATTCTGACCAGCTTCAATGCAAATGGGCAGATTAAGATCACAGTGCAGGCTTCCTGTGGGAGCTCCATGGTTCAGGACTCCAAAGTGGTGACTGTCTTCGGTAAGAAGCTCTCGTGTCAGTTATTCCCTCCTCTTCCGCCATGTCAGCGTGATATACTTCTAGATACTGAGAAGCATCTCCATTTGTGACTCAGGGTAGGGTCCTTATTAAGTACAGACAGGGATTTGGACCTGAGCTGGTGGTTGGAATCAGGAGGGTTGGAGGGCAGGGAGGGTAGGGGTAGCACAGTGACCGAACACACGGTCGAAGAGGAGGGTCTTGAGACCTGCCTTGAAGGAGGCAAGGAAAGGACCGAGGTGGAGAAACTGTGGGATGTTCCAAAGGGTGGCGGTAGAAAGCCTGAAGGCCTGACTGCCAATGGTGGGGCAGATCGGATATGGAGGAGGCCAGAGCCCGCTGAGTGGAGGGAGTGGACAGTTCTACATGGAGACAGGTTACAAATCGTCACATTTTAGATTTGGTCGATCAAATAAACGAGTGCAATTTGGAGATAGTACATCTTAAAATATCTCTGAATATATCAGATTACATGCAAGATTTCAATCAATGGCCCATTGTATAACCTACAGTAATGGTTTTGCTCAGACTCTGAGCCTTTACCTGTTCAGAGCTTGAAACATGTTTGTTGACAAATGGTCTGCAAACTTTTTCACACAAACTAAAAGATGTAAGTCATGTTCAAATTCATCCCTGAGCCACTTAAATGTTGACATCATGAGATGTCTTCAAAGACCTGAAATACGGTTTTGGTTTTGGGACCAGTGTGTCAGCCTGGCCTAGTATGTAGCACTCTTGCCTGTTTGTCAGAAGGTTGTGGGTCCAAGCCCATATCAGCACTTTGAGCTCATAGTCAAAGCTGACACTACAGTACAGGGCTGGGGGAGCAGTGCATTTCCATTCTTCAAAATCAAGGTTCTGTTGGGATGGGCACTAAAGACTCCAGAGCACTATTCATATTGTCATTCACTTCACGGTTCTTGTGCGCAAATTGGCTGCTGCATTCACCAACAAATACACAGTCACTACACATTATGGAAACGTTGTGAAGCATTTTGTGACATTATAGGCACTGTATCAAATTCAAGGATTATTATTATTTTCTTAACATTTAAGATCATGCAGAATTCTGGAAGATTATGAAATGCAGTTTCAGTTTGAAGATCAGTCTGAAGCAAGTTTTAGCAGCAACGGCGAATACCATGTAGAATTTCAGTTGTGTGACAAAGAAATTCTTATTCCTCAAACACAAGGAAAGTAAATATTTGCCAGAAAGAAAGCAGGGATATGGTGACTGTTTAAATAGTGCATTGTTCTCTTTCTACACTGCAGAGGAGTTACACATGCATTTCCCTTTCAGACCAGCTGGAGGTTCTGCCTCTCGTGTTCTCTGAGAACATAGACAGTTGCAATCCGAATGTGCCAGAGTGGAGGGAAGACATTGGCCGGGTCATATCGAGGATCTTAGCAAAGGTACTCGCTGATAAACAATGACTTTTGTCCAAATAACAACAACAAAAATTACATTTGTATAGTGCCTATCACGTCGGGAGGATGTCAACAATTAACACTGAAATAGCTCACTTTACTTTACAAAAATTGAGTGGGTGCCCGAGCTGATAGGGAACTGGACAGTTGGCCAAAACCATAATTAAAGAGGCAAGTCTTCATGCAGGATTTCAAAGCAGAGAAGGAAGGGGGGGAGACAGAGGGATTTGGGGAGAGTGTTCCAGAGGGCAAGGGCAAGGCAAAGTACAACGAAGACTCATCCACAAATGGTCAGGTTGAGCAGAATCCCGAGAGTTCCAGCCGGTATTGCAAATTCCATGCCTGCTCTTACCCTAACTCAATCCATCTCTCCAACCGAATGACAGGATTCCTTACTTGTACAAAACAATATGGTCCAAAGCAATACGTGGGAAAAAGTGGCTTATAATATTTTGAACACATGACCCAAAAATTCATTTCAAACAGTCAGCAGTCATTACCACGAAACTCTGAAAGGTGGAAAGGAGTGGAGTGCCTCCTGAGTCGAATGCTGATTATTGACTGCAGGTTTGGCTAATGTGATAACCATGGTATTATTCATGCATTTGATTTATTAGATTCCTGTCCCCTGTCACTATTTCACTGCTCACTCTGACATTGATGTCTGAATGAAAAGATTCAAGCTGCCTATTTTACATCTTTTTCTACTCTAAATGCACACCCCACATCACTCTTCCAGATAAGCAATTGACAAATTCCTATTTGACTGCTTCACTTCAGAGATTGTTTACCCAACGCAATGTGGCATCATCTGTGAACTCATACATTCTACATGAAGCGAGAAAGCAGGAGCCCCATCCCTGAGGTGTTTCTCTGGTCACTGTTTTTTCCAATTAAAATTATTAGCATTGAAAGTTCTTGATGCTTCACTGGGTTAGAGCTCCATCAGAAAGGTTTTATCTCCCATTCACGTGCAATATAGTGTGCACAGCTGCCTGGTGTGGGGCTGGGTAATGGAAAGTAGAAATATCCAGGAATTAGCTATTCTCAGTAACAGTGAAGAGGCACTAAACTGAAGGGGTGAAATAGTCAGGGTCAACTTCCTTAAACTCTGTATTTTTGGACAATGTGACTTGACAGTTGCCCCTCTGTCTAAATGGCCACTTGAACAAAGCACCATAATACTGGGAGTGCCTGTGAAGTTGTACTGCAGACTGCCTTAAAGACAGGCAATTGAGTGACAGAAAATACTGCCAGCCGATCCCTACCCTTTGTTTCCTTTCATTTTGTCAATTTACTATCTGATACATAGTGTAACATCATCCCTTTCCCAGGACATTGTACATCAGTTCTTGTGAGATATCGCTTATTAAATGCCTGCCTGCTAAAAGAGTCATTCTATTACATTTCTATAAAATTCTAATCCATTTGTTCACCATGACTCGTGTTTTCATGTATTGACTGATGTTGACTTGGAATTATTGTTTTTCTTGTAAAACTTGTAATTCTTATAAATATCTTACTTTATGATGGATGTCAGTGATTTTTCCACTGTGGCTGTCATGCTCACAGGCTTACAATTCCCACGATCATATTTACAATTTTTTTAAAAAAAATGAAATATTTAACTTTTTTTTAATCAACTATTACTAAACTGTGTTTAATGAGCTGAAACTAATTTAGCCACAAATTCATCCCACTTCTACACTCATTTGCATAAGTGCTTTTGGATTTAGGTCAATTAGTCCTGTTGCCTTATGAATATTCAGTTCTCCAATTTTGTAATGATCTTTTCATTACTGTTCTTTATGGACTCTGAGCCTGCTAAAGCAAAGCCTTTTAGAGTAGTGCTGATTATGTGATATAACGGAGCACTCTCCACTCACCTGTGGAGGGCAAGAGTCCTCCGTTGTATCACTCCCATGGCGAATTGAAATTGGCAGGTAAACAAGGTCCTACTCAACCTCATTCTCTCTGTTCTCACAGAATGTCTGACACGTGAAATCCATCACCATGTTAAGAGTATTCAAACCCAACTGATTGGAAATTCCTGTGTCTGGAATGAAATATGTACTCTTCCACTGGAAGGACAAACCCTTCTTATCTAATTCCATTAGGCACAAGTTGGGAAGAGCCAAGGCTTGAGGAATTTAACCAACTAAAACCACTGTCCGGCAAGCTTTCCTGCTACTTGTCCAACTAGGACTGCACTGCAAAGTTAACAGGAATTGAGTGGGAAGAATCCCTGCTCCTCTTGACTGCCTGGGTTCCGCCTGCATGTCCTGTTGATGAGCCATCAGCAGTGACCTGAAGTAATCTGTGTAGAGATACGGGGGTATGTGTGTGGGGGGGCAGGAGGTGCTGAGTGAGAATGATGGCGAGAGTGGGGAAGGCAGAGGCAGGGAAGTGAGTCGAGTGGTATGGTGTGGGGTTATCCACCTTGCTGTTCATTGCTGACAGTTGAAGTTCCTCTGCAATTGACATTGCACAAAATCTCAGAGTGAAAAATACAATGCAGCATCCAACATTCATTGTCTTTTGTAGGCAACAGGCCTCTCTGAGCAGCTGCTGCTGACGGTGGTGAGAGTGGGCCTGCCCACCACTGCGGAGCTGTACCTGCTTCCACCACCAGATAAACCCAAGCAGAAAAGAAGCACAAGCATGGACAAGGTAATACCATTTGAAGCTTAAGCCTTCAAATATTCACAGCCTGACCTTTGGTGTTGGCTCAGGGGTGGCTATTTTCACAGACACTGTAAGGGGTGAGTCAGCATAGCCCTGAAACTGGGGCAGAGGCATCTGCAGATGGTATTTGCAGCTTCTGGTGACACTTTATTAAAATTGGCGACAATTGCACTGTTTTCTTTAGTTATAATCAAATGAATAAATAAAAGTGTAAGCTTCTCCTAACTGGACCCAAATTGATGTGTTAAATTTGGAGGGGGTTGGGGTTCTGTATTGTGGATTACAGTAACAGAGCTGCTGAGGTTACCTGAATGTACTTGTGGATTTCAGTTCCTTTCTCAAGATGTGTATAGTGACAGTAAGGGGAGACTCGTATCTTCAAAAAATGTGCATATACAGGTCAACCATGGTATAACGTGGTGGGTTAGGTCCATAATCCATAATTAAGGCTTGCTATAAAGATGATGTCATGACTTGTGTTAGGTGGAAGAAGCTAGCATTCAGTGCTGGAAGCTATAAATATACTGATGCAATGCAAGAGTTAATAAACAGGCAGATATTTTAAACATTGCTACCAGTAAAAACAATTCTTGTATTTGATATACAACTGCTACTTGTATTAATACCTGTTAATTAACCTTTAAGAGGGTTAGCATCTCGGAACAATAATAAACCTTACATGTGATATGTATAGCACCTAGAACTCTGAGACATCTCAAAGTGTTTCTCGGGGAATTGATTCAAGTGTAATAATTGATTGTGAACTGAGTCTACTGTTGAGCTGCTTCACTTTTTAGACCATCCATTGTAATGGAAAGTAAATTATGCACAGTAAGGTAAGTGAAGATTTGTACTGAATTCTGCATAGAAATAAAGTTGTGATTAACAGGGCTCTAGAAATTTGAGATGTTCCTCAATTTCCTGTGTGCTGAGATGTGACAGTGTATTTTTATTGGGTTTTCCCAGGGTATTGATTCCTTGATAGAAGTCTTGACAGAAAACCAGGTCACATTTTCTTTGAAACCAGGGGTGGACGTAACTGTTACACTGGCGGATTATAGAGCAGGTAAGAGTACATTCAGTGAGATGGTAGTTGGGGCTGAATTGTGTCAATAGCTGGCTACTTAGTAACACTGGTGCGCAACACATTCTTTATTAAACAAAAACAGACCAATATGTAACATCAGTCACTGTTCCTTGCAGAATGCCAGACATTTTTGAGGATTGGGAGTATCCTATGGCAAGTTACGTGGTATTGGTGTGCAGTGATTAAATGTTGAGCATTTAATCACCGCACACAATCTAAATCTTAGTTTAATCACATTTAATGAATATTTGTATGTAAAATGGAAGATTAGCTACAGCCCAGGGAATTACGCAATTACTCACCCGCCTAATTTCACACATACATCTGGTGGAGATCTGGTCCGGCAGGCCAGAATTTCCGACTAAGTGTAATTGCAATTCCGTGGCCGAAAAATTTGTTACCTCAAGGCTTAATTACGGGAACTCCCTCCTCATCGGTCTTCCGAGCTCTTCCCTTCACAAGCTGCAGATCATCCAAACCTCTACAGCTTGTGTACTCTCACGCACCAGGCTCCGTGACCCGATCACTCCCGCCCTCACCCGACTCCACTGGCTCCCCATCCCCCAGAGGATCGAGTTCAAGATCCTCATCCTCACCTTTAAGGCCATCCATGGCCTTGCCCCCTCCTACCTCTCTGACCTGCTGACTCCTTACCAACCTGCCCGCTCCCTCCGTTCAGTGGGCTCCGGTCTGCTCCATGTCTCCCGCCCTACCATCGGTGGCCGGGCTTTCAGCCTCTCTGCCACCACATTCTGGAACTCTATCCCACGGTCCCTTCGCCTCGGTTCCTCTCTTGCCTCCTTCAAGGCTGGTCTCAAGACCCTTCTCTTCGACCGTGCCTTTGGTCTTCCTCCCACCCCTCTGCCTTCCCTCACCCCTACACCACCCCTCCCCCATGCTCGGGCCCCGACATCTGACTGTTCAGAGCTTTGGGACGTCCTCCCGACGTGAAAGGCGCTCTATAAATGTAATTTTGTTGTTGTTGTTGTTCTGCTCACCGGATTCAAACAGAGTTAAATTGATATCTCTGGCCATTGAAGGCCAGCAAGTATAGTGAGGTGGTGGAGAGGGGCGTGGAGGGTGCGCACTAGGACAATGTACTGGGAAGAGTCTACAAGTGAATATGTGAAGTTAAAACCATTTTTTTTTCTCTTGGCTTCTACCTTCTACGCTAGTTATCAAAAAAAATTATTCTGCTTTCATACCTGGTATTAAAGAAAGATACTATATATCTGGAATGATAGTAATCCTTGCATTTGATATAGAGACTGTCTTCAAGACGTCTCAAGTGCTTCACAGAATATACTGACTGTATATTTTGGTAATTAAATTATCTGCACAATAATTTTATTAACTTGCATATGATTCTACCGAACAAGGACGTATAATATCCCTTTGTTTTGTTTTCGGTTTCAATCTTGGATAAGTTGATGATAAAGCACTTTGATAGTTTTGGGGATAAGATGTGGTATAGAAAGACAAAATTCATGAAAACTGTCCACCATATCTTTCTAAAGATGCTACAATTGTGCTATATGGTATTTAAATTGTTTAAAAAAGGTGTAATTTTGCATAATTCATTTTTTGCTTCCAGAATTTTTATTTTTTCTGGGCATAAATCCCTGGGATGTAATTAACCCTTTTTTTGCCTTCAACATATGTAGTAGCTACCTAAATAACAAACTGTCCCAAAAATACGTCTTTGAAGCATCACTGCCTGCCATGTTGTGTTTTGCTATTAATAATAATCCTATTCTTTACATTTGATATAGAACTTTCGTGACTGGTGGACATCCCAAAGCATTTTGTGGGCCACTGCTGTGTGCAATTGGTACTGCGTTTCGCCCACAAATATACAGTCAATTCACTTTACAGCATATTCTGTGAAGCGCTTTGAGACGACTAGAAGACAAGAAAAGTGCTATATCAAATGCAAGGATTATTATTATTTTGATTTAGCGCCTTATCATGTCTTCGGGATGTCTCAAAGTGCTTCACAGGACACACTGTAAAGTAAATTGACGGTATATTTTTGTGGGCGAAACGCATCACCAATTGCACATAGCAGTGTCCCACAAACAGTCAGGGATTGAAGTGACCAATTTATTATTATTAATTTCTTTTGAAGGAATTATTACGCCAGAAAAGCAATCCGCCAATTGACTAACACCCGGGTTCCTACTTACTTCTAGGTAAACAAAGGGGTGTGGAATCAGGAAACTTGCCCAACATTTCGTCCTGCTGGGAATCGAACCCACGTCTCCCGCTTGCGAGGCTGGTGCTCTAACCACTGAGCTTCAGGGCTCCACATAAAGTGCAGTGACTGTGTGTTTTGTGGGCAAGCACATTAACCTGTTAGCTGCACTTTCCTGGACCAAATGTCACCATGTAATTTTTCTTTTAAATTAATATTTTGCTTGCGTTCATACTTGACATTTTGGTTCTTTAGTTTCCCAGAAAATCATTGGAGGGAGAGGCGTCCTGATTATAGTAATCATGTTTGTGATCTGCCTGCTCGGAGTGGGGGGTTTCATCCTGCACAAGTTCAAGAGGTGAGTGCTGCACGAGGTGTGCTGAGAACAAGAAGATTGTTTTCTTGTCAGATGTGTGTCAGACATACGTGGAAACCCATCACTGTGTTTAAGGATGTGCAAACCAGACTGCGAGTTCCACATATGCATGTCACCTGGACATGGAAATTCCCGTGTTTGGAATGGAATGCGCATTCTCCTGAAGGGACGCACCCTAATTCTGGAGAATATTAGACACAGGTTATCAGGAAGCGTGGGATGTGTTCAGGTACTACTGGAGTTTAACCAACTAAAAACATGTAGCTTGCCATTGAGAACACTGTCTGGCAAGATTCCCGCTGCTTCTCCAGCTAAACTGAAAAAAGAGCACAGACCGTAACTGGGAGACCTGAAGCATTAAACCACTCCTGCTCATACCTCAAACCAATTGCCTTAAAATTCAAGATGATGCAGAATTTTGTGAAATTCCTCTTGAAGTGAGTTTGTCCTTCTGTAGAGATATCGTTGCTTAGTCTGAATTATTATTGATTACCCTATTTCATGGAGAATCAGTACAAAAGCATATATGACACAGATATATACAATCCATATTACTACACAACACCTAAACAATGATAAAACCTACAATCAGGGCCTACACTCAACTTTAAAAAAGTGGAACTTTTTGCAACAAACCCAAGCCTATTTTCCGTGGGCAATTAATCTCACCGCGAGCCAAGGTAAATAACATTTTTGCTCACAATCTCTCTTAACCATGTCAATGAACAGTAACAATGTCTTGTGGGAACAGCTGTCTAACAGCAGCAAGGTGTGATCAGGAGGATGAATATTACAGTATTAATATCCAAAGAATTGACTTGTGAAGAACAATTTGGCATTAGTGTCTGTGTTGCTTCACCTCAGCAGACATGCTGACTGACTAATATGTGCTATTACTCATTCACAGGCTGGAAGCACTTACGCTTTAATTACCACTGACTTTGAAGGTCACTCTAACCCTCAATATCTATGCATTGAGGGCTCTTTCCAGGTGCAAGGGAATAATTATACAGTCTATCATGTTTAACTGCATCCAGGTCACTGGTGTTCTGTCAGTAAGGAATTAATCACCACCACCTCTTGCTCTATCTCCGCTGACATCTCCTCTCCCCTCTCCTCTCACAGCCTCTCCCTCCACATCCACTCTGCCCCTCACATCCACCCGCTTGACCTGGTGATTGATTACCTGGGGTCTCAGAGTCTTGGACTTCACCATCACTGACAAAGCCATCTCAGACCACTACTTCATCTCTCTTAACTTCTAATCCCTCTCCCCACCCCCACCAAACCCACATCCATCTCCTAACCTCCCTGGAAAAACAATTCCACCCCCTCTTCGCTGCCCTGGAGTCATCTGAACTCCTCCCCTCTGGGCTTCCCCTGATTTGACCTATCCTTCTCAGTCACTCTCCTCTACAACTACCTCTCCACCACTCTTGATGCCCTTGTTACCCTCACTTCCTGAATCGCCTCCGAGTCATGGAAGTCACCCTGGTACACCAGTCACCTCCGCTCCCTCAAGGGTCAGGTGCATGGCGCTGAATACACCTCGCTCAAATCTAACTTAACTGTCCATCGGCAGATTTGGATGGACCTCATTGAATCTTACCGCTCCACCCTTGACGTGGCTAAATCGTCCTTCTACTCCAAGACAATCTGGAGGCCAAGGACAACCCCAGGCTCCTCTTCTCCATTACCAATCGGCTCCTCCACCCACCCCCTCACGCCTCGCCCGTCCTCACCTCCCAACGCCAACTGTGAGGAGATGCGAGACTTCCTCAAAACTAAAATCGAGGGAATCTGCTCAGCTGCCTCTGTCCTTCCAAATATTACCCCCTCCCCATCTCTCCCACACACCCCAGGGCCTATCCATCCATCCATCGCTCCACACTTTTGAACCTGTCTTCCCCTCCTCACTCACCACCACCACTATGGATGAAGTCCACCACCTGCTTCCTCAACCCCATCCCCATCCCTCTCATTACTTCCCAGGTCCACCTCCTCACCTCCCTTACTCACAGACATCATAAATCTCTTCCTGTCCACTGACACCATTCCCACCCCTTTAAAAACAGCCGTCATCACTCTTATCCTTAAAAAACCCCTCCATGGACCCATCCCTGCTCTCACACTACTGCCCCATCTCCAACTTTCCTTTCCAAGGTTTTGGAATGAGTCGTTGCTTCCCAGCTTCATTCCTTCCTCTCCTGCCACTCCCTTCATGAACCCCTCGAATTGGGTTTCCGAGCCGCCCACAGCACAAAAACAGCTCTGGTCAAAGTGACAAATGACATTTTGTCCATACGACCAGGGCTCCTTCTTTCTCCTTTCTCCTTGACCTCTCTGACCTTTGATACCGTGGATCACTCTATCCTCCTCCACCGCTTCTCCTCTCACTTCAACCTTCACGGTTCTGCTCTTAAATGGTTCAGATCATACCTCTCACACTGTTTCCACTTCATCTCCACAAACAGCTTCTCCTCTAGACCCCGCACTGTGTTGTGCGGTGTTCTTCAGGGCTCTGTCGTTGTTCCCCTCCTCTTCAATATCTATATGCTCCCTCTTGATGACATCATCCGCATACATGGGGTCAACTTACGGATGACACCCAACTCTATCTCTCTGCCTCCACCCTTGACTCTCGGACCACTGCTGCCTGACAGAATGTCTGTCAGACATCAAGTCCTGGTTGAGAATTAACTTTCTACAGTGGAACGTCAACAAGACGAGGCTCTCCTGATTGGCTCCTGTCAGCGCCTCCAAACCTCAGGCACTGACAGCATCACCACCCAAGGATGTACACTCCACCTCACTGAGCCAGTCTGGAACCTTTGGTGTCTTGTTTGACCCTTAACTGTCCTTTCTACCCCACATCCGTGCCATGACCCACTATGCCTTCCCCCACCTTCGCAACATTACCTGGCTCCAACACTGCCTCACCCTCAGACTGCCAAAAAAAACCTCATCCACGCATTTATCACATCTAGGCTCGACTATGCCAACTCCCTGCTTGTCAGCCTTCCCAACTCTTCCCTCCACAATCTGCAGATCATCCAGAACTCTGCAGCTGATGTCCTCTCTTGCACCAGGCTCCGTGACCCCATCACCCCCACCCTTGACCAGCTCCATTGGCACCCCATCCCCGAGGATGGTTCAAAATCCTCATCCTCGCCCTCAAAGCCCTCCACGGTCTTGCCCTCTGCAACCTGCTGACCCCATATCAACCTCTCACTCCCTCTGCTCAGCAGGCGCTGGCCTACTCCACGTCCCCCGCCTGGCCCACCATCATAGGTGGCCAGGCTTGCAGCTTTTCTGCTCCCACCCTATGGAACTCCATCCCACAACCCCTTTGCCTCGCTCCCTCCCTTGCCTTCTTCAAGGCACATCTGAAAACCCTACTCTTCGACCCAGCCTTCAGCCACCTTCCCTGCCCTCCACCCTCCCCGATCACAACCCCCAGCTCGGGTCCAAATCCCTGATTGTCCAGCGCCTTGGGACGTCCTCCCAACGTCAAAGGCACTATAAAAATGTAATTTGTATTGTATCTAGTTTCAGAAAGGTGAAAAACAGTAGGTAGACACTCAGCAAAACTTATGTGCCCCAGCCACACCTTCAGGGGTGCAAGTGATGTGATAACCTAAGAAAGATTGAGGAAGAAAAGGTAATTCATCCCATCAAATCCATTGCATTCAAAGGACCTTGTATTTTGCAGCACCCACTGAAGCTTCTGGGGATAAAGCTCTTTACAGCTACTTCACTGATCCCTGATCAAAAACAAAGTCCTGAAATATTCCCCAATCTCTCAATTTCAACCATTCAAAGGTGGCCTCTATTCCTAAAAAGGCAGTATTGCCCTTTGTCTGGCTTCACCAGCACAGTAAACCAAATACTCCCAATGGAATAGTCCATCTGCACTGACCAATATATTCTCCAAAACTGATTGGAAGATGATAGCTATTCAGGAGTCAAATGGATTCAATTGTTTTTCCTAAAAATTTGTTCTGAATAGGCATTATACTGTGAGAACATAGGAACATATATAAAGGAGTAGGCCATTCAGCCCCTTGAGCATGTTCCACCATTCTATTAGATCAGGTTGATCCAACCTTTTGGCTGCTGAGGGCCGAATTCCCTATTTGAGAAAGGTCCTTGGGGCGCATAAGCAATATTTTGTTTCTCTTCCAGAGACGTAACAACAATTGCACATTTTCATGTTGGAAGGACATCTTGACACTGTCGGCTGGGCAGCTGAGCTGGGGGTGGGAGACGAAAGGTGGGATGGGGAGGGGACTGAAAGCGTGGTCAGAGTTAGGTCTTGAAGTGCCTTAAAAGAGGGGGGGGAATGAGTAGGAGGGATTCCAGGAATGGAACTCCAGAGAGCGGGATGGTAGGGGGGCAAAATGGAGATAGTGGGACAGATAGGCTGGGGAGACACTATACTGTGAGAACATAGGAACATATATACAGGAGTAGGCCATTCAGCCCCTTGAAACTAGTGTTTGCTCTGCAAAGGGAATGGTCAAGTCGGGAGATCACACAGGTGGATTGGGAGGTCACAGAGGTAGTGCTGGGAGGGAGGTGGAATGAAGGACATTGAGAAGTTTTTCGCTTGAGAAAAAGGGAGCTTTTGGTGAGCAAACTGCATGAGACTCCGATTGTCTGTCCTGACAGTGAACCAAAACGCTGCCCTCAATTTTCCTCTTTCACTGCTCTCTCACTCTCTCCTTCAATCACTCTCTCTACTCCCTCTCTCACACATTCTCTAGCACACACTCTCCCCTTCTCTCACACTCTCACTCTCAATTACTCTCTCCACTTCCCTGCTCACACCCTCTCAGTCTCTCTTCCCTCTCACACTCTACCTCCCCCCTCTCAGTCACTCTCCCTCCCCCACCTCCTATCTCTCTCAATTACTTTCTCTCACTCTCCCTCTCAATCAAATTATCACGCAGTGTTTAGCAGGAAGTACTGTTAAGTGTCGGTAGTGACTGTGTAGTTGTGCATGAACAGAAAATGGAAAATAAATCTAGACCCAGATGAAATTTCTCCCCGAATAAAGTCTACAATTGATTCAACAGATTGTTCTGTAGCTTTTAGCGTCTCTTAGCTGAGGGTTTTATTTTGTTGGAACTAGTTGCATCAGTAATACCACAGGGGCTAAGCAGCCTTAAACCAAGGAATGGCTCATGAAATGCTGGAAACTCACCCTTATTTGCTTTAAATGGCAGTTCTCAACTCATCAATGAATCTTATAGTGCTTACTATATAAAGTAAATTGTATCTAATCTTTCACAGCCGCCCTGCAAACCTTGCGGGGAGGGGGGGAAGATTAGATAAATTGCTTCTGCCCACCTGTGTTTTTCACAGTGCACAGACTCGAGAGAAAAAATAGGAAATTAAAAAACTTGAGGCTTCATCTGTTTTCTGCATTTTCTGTTGTTGAGTTTTCTCAGATCTCTCACTAGAAAGGTTTCAAAAGTTCACCTTTCTCAAACAATTCTCAAAGAAAGAAACTCAGAATTTGAAGAATACTTTCAACATTATGCACAGCTGCACCAGACCTGGCGAGGTACTTCAGATCAAAGAATTATTCCAGGGACAGTCAAAACCACACGCATAGTTCCTTAACTTCTTAGTATTACTCAGTGCACGTATTTAAACCAAGCAGAAAGCTAAAATGAAATTAATATGAAAGACAGAATTCCCTCTGCCCTCACTTGCACATCAGTAACGTTTCTGAAATGGAAACGTTAATCTTTTATACATTCTTTGTCATTTCCTGGTGCACTTTTGTTTTCCACTGATTTGCAGTTAAGTTTGTACTGATATCATGTATTCCTGCCCACTCAGTCTCTGAGCTCTAAATAAAAAAAAGCCCCAGTTTATCAAGCCTTCCCTCTAACTGCATTGCAGGCAAAGTCCTGGCAAATGTTCGCTGTGCCCTCTCCAGTGCGTACAAGCAGACCATAAACAGTTGATATATTCTCGATTTCTCTTGCAGGAAGATACCGGGGCGAAATGTTTATGCTCAGATGCACAACGAGAAAGAACAGGAGATGACAAGTCCTGTTAATCACAGTGAAGACACTCAGAACATCATCCAGGGAGAGGAGTTTATTGATGATGATTTGGATTCCCAGACACTCGGAAATGGAAGAGGTAGCCTGAATTTCGTTTGTATTTCGTTTGTTTTATCCAAACGTACTTCTTTAAAATGTGTATTTTTAGTCAATCATAGAATTGTACAGCACAAAAAGAGGCCATTCGGCCCATCGAGTTTGTGCCGGCTCTTTGAATAGAGCAATTAATATCAATCCCACTCCCCAGACCTTTCCCCATAACCCTGCAAACCCGTCCTCCTCAAATACCCATCCACCGCGTTTTTAAAAATAGTTATCGAATCGGCCTCGACCACCCTTCTTATATGTCTTTTTAATATAAGAACAAATCTCCCTGGTTCCTGCCAATCTGCAGAAGCTTTGCAGGGTGACTCCTGGGAATTGAGACTTTGCCAGATGTATGAAGTTCAAGGGGACTGAAGATGGGGGATAGTTTATAAAGAAGAAACATTGTATTTTTGTATTAAAAAACCAAAACGACAATTGAAAATGTCACAAATAAAAACACCGAGCAACTGAAAACAACTTGAGGTTATGCAGGACCCTTCACTCAGTTAGTATTTCGGAGGCTACAAGGTGGTGGGTTGGACACTGGGAAAGAGCTTGCTTATGTGACATTAATTTACAACGGTCACAGAGGAATTTGTGACAAGTGACTCCTGCAGTACCTGAATATGGAAAGACAACCTATTGGGAGCTCTGCTCGGTTGCTAATCTCGGTTCCTACTGCCTCTGAGCTGGATTGTAAAATGATGCCTGGTTGTGGAGCAGTCAGGAGAGGAATGTGGTATTTACTGAGCTTCACAGACTTCGGGATTGAGAACTACATTGTGGTGGGTGGGGGTCTCCAACACATCCAGGTCATTCATATTACAGAAATTTCTAAATATAGACACATGTTGAACCCTTGTGTATAAGAATCATCCTCGTGACGCTGTAAGGCGCTGTATCAAATGCAGGGATTATTGTTACTGTCATTAATGTCTGTTTCACAACATTCCTGACAATCAGAAACAGGCTGAAGCCTACGTTTCAATGAGGAGGTAATTCCAAATTGGATTGCCCCATTGACACCTCCCCATCCAGTCGCTAAATATCGTGGCGCAAAATATGCCCTGGACCTAATCGATGTTTTCTTTTCTCCATGAAACAGGCAATCACTCAGCTGTGGTTCTCAGCATAAACTCCCGGGAAATGCACAGTTACCTGAGTAGCTGATGTTTGCTATGGATGAAACGTTAAGACTCACCTCCATTTTATTTTGTTGTTTCTGGGGAAGGGGAGGAAGAGAGGCAGTGAAATGAACTACATTATTGGTGACGGGACTGAGTGGGAAAATCTTGCCTCCAGTGCTTACTAAACCTTCTCCAGTCAAGCATCAGTGTGTTATAAACATCCCCTGCACAGAGAACAGCGTCACAGCGAGGAACCGTGAAGCTATCTATCTCTCCTGCACCACACTCCACACCTTCCTTTGAATGAGTTGTGTTCGGATGGGGGGGGGGGAAGGTAAGGGATCAGGTCACTCCAATGTGTTATAAACTGAATCTCTCCGATTCTCGTCTTGCATCCTGTTTGCCTTTTTTGAGAAGCACAAGTTTGCGTTACACAATATTTGTTTCGAAAGACTGACCTGTATCACGTGTACAAACAGTGTTGCAGTCCCATCTACACAGTTATCACCTCATTTCCATTCCCAAGAAACATCTGAAACGTTTGCTGACATGTTATTTGAATTTTACACAATTAAAGTTTGCTCAAATATATGTTGTTTCTATAGCGCCCCGTCCTGTTTTCACTAATGCTTCATAAAATTGTATACTGTTTCTCTGTATCTTCCCCCCCCCACCCCCCCCCACCCCCCTCCACCTCCCAGCCACTGCTATAACATTCCTGCTCTTGTTATCTTATGCTCTGTTATCCTGTGAAACCTGCTGCTTTTTCTTTGCAGCATATCAAATGTTCAATCCTGTGTTCTGGTTCGTGGGTGATGCTAAAACAGTACAGAGTATAAATGTTGGGGCTGTGGTATTTGTTTGCAGCCCTTGGGCGTGGAGACAAAACAGATAAACATTTCTAGAAAATCAGGCACCCAACTGACCAAAACATAAAAAATAGAAATTCAGGCTTAACATAAAAGCAAACACTGTTTTGTTTAGTTTCTTCATAGCAGCTGGAAGAGTTTGATTTTACTAATTTTTTTTTCTTGGAGGACAATATCGGAAGTTCATTTTATTGGGATGATCTGTTGGCTTTTCATCAGCTCAGCTCCTCTGGCAGTTATCAAAGCCTTGTTTATTTGACATCACTGCTTGTTCCAGCCCGAGTTGTGAAGCAGCTTTAAGTGAATCTATTTCCCCAATGCCCACAGTCTGCGTTCGGTGGAACTTTTTTCTCTCAAAAGCTTTTTCTCCAGTTTAACTCGCATTATGCCATTTTTGCTGGAGCCTGGTGTTTTGCCCAAGACTGGCAATGCCCTTCATTGTTTCAACAGGAATCATCATCCCAGTTTTAATCTCTTATATGTTTAAGTGATTTTTGTTCCAGAATTTTTGAAGTTGCTTCTGTATCTTTTTTTCCCCAAGCACAAAAACAGAATGCACTGTATATATGGTAATTGTTGTTGAGTGCAGTTAAAGTCTAGCCCCCAGGTGTGATGGGTCTCCTCTCAGTACCGAAGGCCATGCCTGATATGCACAATGCATTTCTAACCATTACACGTGCATCTGAAGGGTAAAGAGTGCTGCTGTCAGTATTTGTTTATCATACCCCAAAGTGCTCTGCTCACTTTCCAGCAAGCAAACAATTTAAGGATCTTACGGCATGAATTCTTCTTGTCGGGCTCTTCTGAGGGCTCAGTGAGTTTATCCAGTTGCTCGCTGAGCTGTATAAATTTGGAAGGTCCCGGGTTCAATCCCGATCTGCTGCACAGTGTTAGCTGATCTGGGACAGGGCAGCAGATAGTCTGGCACAACTGGTCTCAGAGCCCCGGGTCAGTGATGTGAACAATCAGTCAGGTTCTTGCTCCTGATCGCAAATAAGTGAGTCCAACACAAGATATACGAGCAGACATCGAGGTGAGGATAGAATCAGTCTGTGATGCTCCTTTCCCCTTTTCCCGATGTTTAATACACAATTTAAGTTCCACGTAAATACTGGCCACATTCGTATGTGATCCACTGAAATGTGTAAATGCGGTCTGCCTAAATCTGTGATTGGGTTATAGAGTAGTTGTACTGAGTGTTTCTTTTTAATTGGGGGGGGGGTCATAGCCATTTGAGTCCTGTCTCATTACTGCACTGACCTTTTCAAGTGTGGAGTCTTTCCATTTAAAGACATGTGTAATAGCCATACCAACCTGACAGGGTTTCAACTGTCGGCACCACCATTGAGCCCTGTAACATACACTAAATGGAGGTCAGTGAATGAGCTGTACACCTCGGCCCATGTCAACCACTGCTGATAATATCATCCTGACAACAAATGGATGTGACATCCATCTTCTGATGTTACCAACCGAGAGTAAGTCGGACATATTAACTGTGGAGAATGTGGGACAAAGTCTGTTTGTATTGATCATGGACTGGATTTATCTCAGCTTATGTCAGGTCCAGCTTTCTCTTTCATTAGCTCAATGGTTTCTGTTCCTCCCTGTCTTTCTGACTTGAGTTCTTCGTGTTACTGTGCCTCCTGCTGCTGCTGCTGCTGGGATTTTGTTCGAATTGCAAACCATGGACTGTTCCAAGATTACAATTAATGCTACTCTGTGAATGTTGGAGAAATCTGGTGATTGCAGTGGGAAAGAGGTGGACTTTCCCACCACTCCTTTCAGTTTGAATGCTCTCTCCTCCATGAGGTACTTCAATTTAGCTGATGAAAACAGATTCCATCGCCAACAGGTTCGTTGGACAGCCCTGAAATTGGCATTAACCCGGTTTCATGTTTTCTGTAAACTTGGCAGTGAGCCACTGAACATCTCCGAAGCCCAGGGCTCCAATCTGGGCCAGCAATCCAGATCTATTGATGGAAGCAGTGAAGGGAAAACAAAGGAGAAACAAACCAATTCCAGCCCTACCCTATGAAAGATTGCCCTCTGTTGTACGTGGGGTGGCATTGCGAAGAGTCGTGAAAATTCCAGCCCAGAGCTGTGTGGTTGGAAAAGAACGACAACTTGTTTTTATAAAGCACCCTTCATGTGCGGTAGGTTCTTGGAGTGTTAAACTGTGACAGAGCTTCACACGGAGCCCGGGTTAAGAATTTTATTTCAATTCATGTAAAAATTATTGGGGAATGTACTCCATTGAGTCCAGCCACATCACAGCGTGGATGAAGTCCTTGGTGACAACCCAGATAATGGCTTGTCATTAGTGGGATAATGTACCTCACTGGATTGGTTGGACTTGCATTGCACAGTCGGTAGACTTGAATTGTTCTGCCAATGCCCTGTGTAACTTTCTCCTATCCTGCCTCCACTGACTCTGAAAGAATCTGTGCATTGCATGTCTATTTATTTTTCCATCTTTGATATAATTCTCCAGACAACAATTGCAGAGTCCCCAAATCACCACTTTGATTTGTTTTGTCAAGAGATTCGTTTTGAAAATCCATTTTTAATGTAGTTCAACTTGCAGATTACATGCAACAACCCACACCCCTCATAAACATGGTGACGATGGCTACACTTGATTTGGTTTAAAACAAAATAATGAAGAATGCCTATGTGTTCTTTGCTGGGAGCTCTGCCTCACTGGTTGAAGTTATCCATGTCTTGAGAAAGCAGATTGTTTCCTCTGCAGGAATGGGCTGTATCACAACACATTACTTGTTGAACCAGTTAACTGTACATTTTGTATATGATTTCCCAATTCATATTGACTTTGTAGTGATAGCAGTGTTTGTAGACTTATGACAAAGAGATGAACTCTGTATATTTATTTGGTTGGAGGTGTTTGTCAACAAAAACCTGTGATCTGATTGCACAGTGTTTAATGGTTAATCTTTTAATCCTCAATGTATGTATTCGTTTTTACAGAACAGAAATGTGCACATAAATGACTGAACACAGTGCTTAATTTTGTTTAACAGGATATGTTTGGACTTTATATTTGGATTTTAATGTCCAAGCCATAATTAATTTCTACAAGCTTCCTTCTCACATACGACATAACATGGCTGTGTATTCAGTTGCATCGAAGGGTATGCCTTTGTGTGAACAAAATGCACTTGAAATTCTGTTTAATAAACATGTGGCTCCAAATTGCACAAGTGGTTCCTTTACTCCATTTCAGAGTATTGCATGTTTTCTGGTTTTGCTTTTAATTACATGTAATAACAAACTCAAAGCTACCACCAACAATGCTTGTTTTTGTGGGTTACAGAAACATCTAAGTGGGGCCGCACTTTCCTGGTTTGAATCCTACTTGACTCATTACCATCACTACATCTCTGCAAATGTGTTTTCTTCCTGCCCCCTCATGGTCACCTGCGGGGTATCCCAAGGTACTTCATCCTTCACCCCTTCTTTTGATCAGTTAAATGCTCCCTCTTGGCGATGTCATCCACAGACATGGGATGAACTTCCACATGTATGCGGACGACACATTAACCCAAGTCTACATATGTTAATAACAAATGTGAATAATATGACTCAATGTCTCAAGATCGACGTTTAAGGCCACAAGCTCATGAAGACCATCTCAAAAGGATTGTGCGCCATTTCTTATACTAAGGCAGTGTTTCTAATTGCGTGTTGCTGAAACATCACAATAACTCAAAATCTGTTTATTTTGTATTATTCAGTCACTTTATTGTAATATACAATGCATTTTTGGATTGCATCAAGAACCTGCTATGACTTGGCTCATCATACATAAAAAAAGACATTGACCGTTTACAGGTAAAAGTAACAAAAACACTAAGGTGCAGAAATAATTGATCATCGTTTACGGGTTTGGTTTATACATGATGTCTGTTATTCTCACGTAGGATTTTAAAAAATCAGTAAGGTTAGATACAGTGCAGAGCTATGCTAATCTTGCATATAAAACAGAGAGTATTTACATCACAGTGGAACTGTCGCTCAAAGACCTTTTCATTGATTTACACAGATTATCAGCATATTTCAAACCATAATGGGTTATTTGGCATTTATTCTCATTGTAATGGGATGGTCCACTGATTTTGAAATGGAGCAAATTTTTTCAGAAAGATATAATTAATTTCAATGCTGAAACTCTGACTAAATTTGACACAGGTCTACCATTTGTGCCTCAATTTCTTTATGTAGTTAATCCAAATTAACTTTGATCAAAAGATCAATCTTTAAGTGATATACACTGACCTAGCCTTGTGAAGGAAGCACCTCTTGAAAGCCAAGAAACGTTCACAGGCAGTGTGGTGGAGGAAAAGAAATTATGCAGCTTGAAACAAACATAAACTCTTAAAAATAATCATTTAGAATAGTGTCTGAATGACACTAAAGTTGGCATTTAAGAATAGGACTTGTACTCAGATTGAACTACACTTATTCAAAATTTATTTTGCACATAATTGGAAGAAATATCCTGCAGGATCTTGTGTTTGGATCATAAAATCTTAAACTGAACCAGTTTTCGCAAGAACTTCTGACCTAGAAACTGGAAAATAGAGAATGCCTTACGGGAGGTATTTTGCTCTGTGTGCTCGTTGAGGTACATGTGTTAATGTCGGTGCTAATCTCTGGTCAGTAAACCTCGATCTTGAACCTTTGCAATTGGAACCTTGGCACCTAAATACTGGAATTAAGTAAGCAGGGTGGTGACTCCAGGGAAAGAGTGTGCATTTCTGCCCACAAAAAGTACAATTGCCTGCCCTCAAAAAGTACAATTTTAAGGTATAATTTCAGTTGATATCTTTAATGTCCTGTTATTGATACCTTGACATTATGTAGAGCCCAAAGTAAATTCCCAAATCCTACTGGATAGAAGAGACAAGAACAAATACACCACACGCAGCTCAGGGAGCAGAATACACCCTGAAGAGTTAAAATGAGAATAGGTCAGCTTCCAGGCTTCCAGACATGTAATCACGACAGACTTCGTTTGGTTTCTGTAAGAATGCTTTTAAGGTATTAGTTCAGCAGATACAGCTCAGTCACCCTTCTTAGAAGGTCTCCCGAACATGGGGAAGGATTAATGTAAACTTCTGTTCATGTCAAACTGTTAACCTCAGCACCATAAATCTAAGGCAGTGGATGCTCTAATGGGTTATCTGATTGTTCGGCGGTTGAAACGATTCCCATTTCACACCTTGCATCTTTAACTGTATTAGGATAATTCGAGCTCTGAAACTGAGGTCACTGAGGGGAGCAGTGTGTAGCTCCTGTCTTGTCAATTTATGCCTTTACCGAGGTAATCCAACAAAAAGGAATCGTGCAGTCAAACTTCAAAATAATTTACAACAGCAAAGAAAGTACATGCATGCATGCAACTACAGAACTGAGAACTAACTTTATTACATTTTCTGATTGCTTTTTCTGTAAACTTGGTAACTTTGTTTCACATATAACTTTAAACGCTTGAGACAATATACTGTATTCCCCTGCACCAATACATTTTAATACAAATTTTGCTAATGTAAAAAAAAAACTAAAAAGTAAAGAGGAAATGGGCCCTAGAATCAAGGCATATTTCCAGGTTTCAATGCACTCTACTGAGATAGCTAATGACCATGGCTCCAGTGATGGCACATCTTTGAATATTAGCCTGAGGCGTTTTTGGCAAACGAGTAAGATACAGTTGAGCCACTCAAAACACAGAAAGCTGCTCATTCACTGCCAAGTCCACGATGAAACTCTGTCATATAATGTATTACAGCTATGGATATATGATTGATTTCTCATTAACAGACCCAGCGCAGAATTAATATGACCAAATACTTATTGCTGCCACACAAATAGATTAGGTAATTCATAATAAACTTTATCTTTTTGAAGGCAGGTAAACGAGAGGTAATAATACTGTTAACATGATGGTTATTAGATTACTAAATGTATGTATAAACATATACACTGCAAAACAACTGATTTTGCATTGTGTTGTTATCATAGCAACCATGCCTGAGAATAAGCTCATGCTAGGGATATACAGTAAACCCCCGACTTACCGGACTCTGGATTTCCGGGAATTCATTCCTAGCCAGACAAGGTTCCCAAATGGCATTTTTTAATAAATGTCCATGGGCCCACATGCTTTTAGACTCCCATCAGCCCACTCTCCTATCGTGTATCCCTCCCTCCCCCCTTCACCCTCATCATCCTTTTTAATATCCTTTAGTGGCCAGGGATACTGACTTTGAGTGAGCTATCTTCTGCTCACGGAATTCAAATAATTACAATGCCACTACTGATATTTTTCGGCACTGAAAAAAGCTGGTAAATGCTGTACCCGGCATTTATTCTGAAATTCTGGTTTGCAGGATTGGACTAGCCCCAATGGTCTGACTGCCCAAGGTTTTAGTGTATTTATGAAGCATGAAAATGACAAATTGAGAGAGACTGTTTTTAAATCTCACGAACAGCACATACAAATTCCATCAAATACTTGTTTTTTAAAAAGGGAAGATAAGACAGTGCTGTGATGTCAATGAGATTATTGCTATATAACCGCTCCCTCAACAACTTTCAGCTTTGGTGGTTACCACTCTACCTAGTCAGCAGTAAAGAGGTCAGCTTTAAGAACGTAAAATATAGATGGAATTGCAGTAATGTTCAGCTATGATTACTGTTTTCTCCCAAGTCAAGTAGAAATTAATTGACCCTTTAACTTCAGTCAGTCAGCTGGTTAGGTTTGTAACTCAAGTTAGGTTAGGTTTATTTCAGAGCCAGTCTGTGGCTAAGTCATTACAAGTCATGGGGATCACCAGAGAAACTTTAGATCTGCATTTCCAATATGATCACTTCTGCAGAAACACCTGTGGTAATTCCTCAGTGAGTATATGACGCCATGAGGAAGAGACTACAGATAACCTCTGGGGAAAAATTCCACCTGGGTCCAGATTTATGTAGCAATTATAGGGTGTCCAGAATTTGGAAAATTGTTGAATTAATTCTCAACTTTGAAAGCGGTTTTCCATAATACTTAAAATAATTTTGAAGAAAACTGGCTTAAAAAAGGCTGAGTTTAAAAACTAGACACATTTTAAATGTGCTAAAATAATACACAAGTAGAGTGAATATAATAATAATAATCCTTGCATTTGATATAGTGACTTATCACGACTTTTAGATGTCTCAAAGCGCTTCACAGAATATACCGTAAAGTGAATTGACTGTATATTTTTGTGGGCAAAAAGTGGTAGCCAATTGTGCACAGCAGTGTCCCACAAACAGTCGTGGATTGAGTGACCAATTTGTTTTTTTGAAGTGATCCACCAATCGACTAACAAATGGGTTCCTATTTACTGCTAGGTAAACAGAGGCATGTGGAGTAAGGAAACTGGCCCAACATTTTGAACCCAGGTCTCTTGCTTGCGAGATGAGTGCTCTAACCACTAATCTACAGGTGGAATTCTAACATCTTACCTGAAAGAATATGATTTATACCATCTCTTTAAACCCAGAAGCAAACTTCTATATATTCTGCAACTTGATCATTTTAATAATAATAATCATAATAATCCTTGCATTTGATATAGTGCCTTATCACATCATTCAGACATCTCATAGCACTTCACAGAATATATTGTAGAGTGGATTGACTGTTTATTTGATTGTGTAATTGGTTGGAAATCAAGACTGTAAATTGGCCAGTAAATGGATTGCCAGTGTAAGGTACTGTAACTGGATGGAAAGTCTGCTGATGTTTATTAAAACAGACACTGGATAATGCAGTACAACCTTTCTTGCTGCTAATTACCATATATTTGCAAATTCAAATTAATTCATTTGGGAGCTATTCTGCATTTTATCAACATAAGTAAGTGTATGACAAAGAACCAAATAATTAAATTAGTTAAATCCCTTTTGAAAGTTGTTACTGCTAAAAGTCTCCAAAACAAAGCATTCAGCACAGTAGATGTCCCCTCATATATGCCTTGTCCATGACTAAGATATGGAATTATTTGTTAAATAATTTGCTATTATGCTGTATAAATACCATACGTATCCTACTAAAATGGATGTTTTTTTAATTTGCACTTGTTTTAGCTTCTCATTTGGTTTATATTCAATTTCTGCCCCCAATTTAAATCGAATGGTTATGTAGACCGATCATTTATAAATTCTGATGTACTTCAAATAAAATTACTTATAATGACACTTTTCTAGACATACAAAAGCAGGTGAATCATCTTACATCAAAATTAATTCTTTACTATTTCAGTCTGTGCAGGTATCAAAAGCTGCCTATGTACTGAAGCCTTTACTTACATCAAAAAAGTTAATAATTCTAGAGAATTTGTCAAATATCGCAAGTTGCTTGAGCATGCTTCTCTTGAGTACAATTCTCAGTGAACTGTGAGCACGTCCAAAGAAGAAACAGCCTTAGGTTCAACCAGGAGATTGAAGTCAGGGATTTGATCACTTATGGCCAATGTAAGTATGCATTTTAGAATACTGAGCATTGTTCCTAAAAAAAAGCTCCTATGTTTCCAAATCCAAAAGAGGGTCACAATTAGGATCTTCTTGCTGCTAATTACCATTTATGAGGAAATTCTAATTAATTCATTGTAACAATAATACTCTTGGCATTTGACATAGCGCCTTATCACGTCTTCAAGAAGTCTCAAAGCGCTTCACAGAATATACTGTAAAGTGAATTGACTGTGTACTCTGCATTTTATCAACATGAGTGTATGACAAGGAACAAAACTCTAAACATGATACTGATAACATTTAACACATACTCCAGCGACGCCAGGTGTTAACTGGAAGTGTGTCATACGATCCACAGGTACTCCACGCAGGAAGAAATTTACTTCTGGAGCAGAGTATCCGAAGGCTAGCATGATGCACTTTGCAGGAGTTGCTGTCATGACCACCATGTTTCAGACCCTATTAATATACACACAGGTCACAATTGCCAAAGCCATCTAAATACATGAATACTGACTTGGTCCATTTATTTATTGCAGTTTTGTGTGCATGGAGGAGGGGGGGGGGGAGATAGGGTGCCATACACAAGATGCTCTCTGTGCTTATAATATATTCATAAATTAAGAAGGCTTATTTAAAAATGCCTTTGCTGCAATAAATATATTTTCTTTGTATTAAAGATGTTTCAATTGAAATTTCCGTTATGGAACTGTTTTTTTTAATTATATGAGGGACAGCTGTTAAAGAAAAACAGAATCAGAAAAAAGATGTATGTAGTGACTATTTTTTTTAAAAAAAGCAGAAAGCAGCCATATTGATAAAATATTTAAAAACAAGGTTTTGTTTAAAAACGAGCCCTTGGTTTTGATCTATGACCACAAATCTTGGCATGGAATACCTGCGGCCTCTCCCAGGTATCCGGAAGGGCATGTATTTCATGTAGTATTTCATAGTGAATGACTCAGTAGCAGTGCTTCTCTTCCTGTACATGGAGTTTCAGGAAGTAACTGCGAGAAACTGCCAATCTCTTTTATGTTCCGTTTTTCTGTTCCCATTCCTGGAAAGGAAAATAAAGTACAGAAACAGATGTTAACAGGATTTATTTGCTCATTAGTTTTCTCCGCTTTTCCTCTTTCTCCCCTGCCCCCCAACCCTCCTCATCCATATTTCAAATGGTGAAGTTCTGTACTAAAATGTTTGCTATGGACTTGTTTTGAAGCTGAAGTGCTGTGAGGTTCACCTTGAGCATCTCTTACAGATGCTGAATGGTTCTACTGCAGTTACACTTTGAATGTTAAACCAATGCAAAACAGCAACTACTTTAAGTAACAATAGCTATATACATGCAAATGAATTACTCTGCTGCAATACAAGATGTGCAGTTTAATTTCCCTAATGTAAATTCCCGCTGCTATTAACTGTGCTACTGTCACACTAACTACACCAATAGAAATTTTCCAGACAACTTTTTGGGCCTTCAGAAACTCATCACTTGTTACTTTGGAATAGAAACCTTATGCAAAATTGATGGGTCTAACTACCTATACCATTGCAGATGACACCATAATTTAACACATTATAATTAAGAATAATATAAATAATAATCCTTGCATTTGATATAGGGCTTTTCACGTTTTCTTGGTGTCTCAAAGCGCTTCACTGAATATACTGTAAAGTGAATTAATTCTATATTTGTGGGCGGTAGCTAATTGCGCACAGCAGTGTCCCACAAACAGTCATGTATTGAATGACCAAATTGTTATTTTATTTATTTATTTCCTTGAGGGATTATTATCAGGCATGAGTAGTAAGGAAACTTGCCCAAGGTTTTGCCCTGCTGGGAATCAAACCCAGGTCTCTTGCTTGCGAAGTGAGTGCTCTAACCACTGAGCTACTGGACTCCACTATGTGATGTTATAACGATAATAATCCTTACATTTGATATAATGCTTTTCACGTCAGGAGGACATCTCAAAGTGTTTCAAGGATATACTATTAAGTGCAAACTCAGCAGTCAATTTGCACACAGCAGTGTTCTACAAGCAACCTTGAAGTGAATGACCAATTTTACCTGGGGAATGCCTGGCCAGAACATCAGGAAAAACTCCCTCTTTTATCAATGAGTGCCATGGGATCTTTAACCCCCACCTGTATATCAGACATTCAGGTGTACGTTGGTTTAACGTCTGATCCGAAGGAATTCACCTCCAACAATACTGGAGCATCAGCAATTATGCTGCACATTCTATGTCACCACAAATCGGGTTGTCCCATTGCACTCATTCAAGATTCATGCTATAACTCCAGTCCTTGCAACAGTTTGACATTTATCTAGAGGTTGCAGGATACCTGGAGGAGGGCTCATACAGTTTGTGCTGCACAATAATGCAGTATATTGGCAACCACAACAACACAAACTTTTGATCCCAAAACAATTGAAAATAATTTTAATATTCACCTTTAAATTCATAATAGAAAAAGTCCTGTCACATTACCATCTGTTTAGTATTTAAAAATGTCACGAACACTTTGGAGATCATAGAACCATAAACATTTACAGCACAGAATAAGACCATTCGACCAGACACGTCTGTGCCAGCTCTTTGAAAGAGCGATCCATTTAATCCAATTTACATACCTGCCTTTTCCTCATAACCCAATTACTCCGTTTTACATATCTATCTCGTTCCCTCTTCACAGCTAATATGTATCCTGCCTCAACCGGCAGAAAATGCCGCATCCTAACAATCCTTTGTGCAAACAAAGTCTTCTTAATATTATCCTTTTCTATTTTATTAATTAACTTAATATAGGCCCTCCCATCACTAACTCACCAACCAGTAGAAATAATTTCTCCTTATCAACTATCAAAACCCCCACATAATTTTGAAGGTCTCCCCTTATCGTTGGAGCCTTTAACAGTGAGGTAGAGGAAGGTGGGTGGAGGGCAGGGGTGGAAGCAGGGAGATTGATAGTCGAAGAGGAGGGTCTTGAGATGGGTCTTGAAAGAGGCAAGGGAGGGGGCGAGGCGGAGGGACTGCGGGATGGAGTTCCAGAGGGTGGGGGCAGAGTAGCAGAAGGCCTACCCACCAATAGTGGGGCGTAAAATGAATGAATCAATGCCAAACGAATAGTTTTGTGATCTGTCCTCATGGTTTAGCCAGGACTATACATTACAACAGGTTAACAGTGAACATGTATAAACAAAATGCAGCAATGCTAAGCGGTGTGTTTGAGATGTGCTTGCATGCTGTACCTTTGCTTTCCTGCGTACATGGCCTCGACCTGGGGAAGAGGCCCCAGAAGGTGGTCTTCTTGCAAGAGCAGCTGCGTTCACAGGCAGTGATGATGGCTCAGTGTCACTCGTATCACAGCTGGAGGCTGGAGAGTTGTCCAAGGTCCGGTGCAAAAACACAGGGGACTGAGAAAAGACCAGACTTAGTACAATTAAAGGTCTGACTTTATTTTTATCGCCCAAATCTAATCCTGAAATTTGCGTACAAAATACTACCAAATGTTCCAATTTTGCTGAGTTGGAGAAAACTGAAATGCCTCTAGTTTTTCAATTTTGCCATCTGTTAAACATTAAAATATTCATAAAATACAAGTCGTGTTAGTTATCTTCTCCACGTTTTCATTTCCAATGTAGTTAGGCTGGTTAGCCTCAGCTAGAGTTCCTTTGGAGTCCTGTAGCTCAGTGGTTAGAGCACTCGCTTTGCAAGTGAGAGACCTGAGTTCAATTCCAGGCAGAGGGCGAAACCTTGGGCAAGTTTCCTTACTCCACACAGAGCCTAATAATAATCCCTCCAAAACCAAAAACAATAATAAATTGGTCATTTTCAATCTACGACTGTTTGTGGGACATTGCTGTGCGCAATTGGCTGCCGCGTTCGCCCACAAATATACAGTCAATTCACTTTACAGTGTGTTCTGTGAAGCGCTTTGGGACGTCCTCCCGACGTGAAAAGCGCTATATCAAATGCAAGGATTATTATTATTATGACTGGGTTCAGTTCTAGGCACCACACTTTAGGGAGGATGTCAAGACATTGGAGAGGGTGCAAAGGAGATTTACCAGCATGGTACCAGGAATGAGGGACTTCAGTTATCAGGAGAGGCTAGAGAAGCTAGGATTGCTCCTTAGAGCAGAGGAGGTTAAGAGGAGACTTAATAGAAATTTTCAAAATTATGAGGGGATTCAATCGGGTGAACAAGCAGAAACTATTTCCACTGGTTAAATAGTAATAGTAAATGGTCAGTAACCCAAGGACATCAGTTTAAAATAGTTGTTAAAAGAAACAGAGGAGAGGTGAGAGAAATGTTTTCACACAGAGAGTTGTTCAGATCTGGAATGCATTGCTGAAAGGGTGGTGGAAGCTGATTCGATAATAACTTTTAAGAGAGAAATAGATAATTATATGGGGAGGACAAGTTTGCAGGGCTATGAGGAGAGAGCGGGGGAGTGGGATGGATATGTATAATTCTTTTCAAAGAGCCATCACAGACACATTGAGCCGAATGGCTTCCTTCTGTGCTGTATAATTCTATGATTCTATGTGTCAAATGCTATTTCCTGAATAAGAAAGGGTTGACCTGCTTCCAAATATTGGCAAGGGCTGTTCTGTAACAGAATATTGGTCGATGTTGAAAGGTTATAGAAGCTGTGAATGTTCACACTGGAGAAGAGAAGGTTTAGTCAAGATCTTATTGAAATATTCAAGATTGTAAAAGGGTACAAATAAATTGAAACGCTCCCCAGTCAAATGTTTAACGCAGTCACCAACTTTACATATGGGGGCCTGGGCTTAGAAGAGGGAAAAGGAACAGACAGTTTTACAGGTTGGTGAATACATTAACTAGACTATTAAGGAAGGCAGTGGTGGCAGTTTTTGTTAATAAATGGATAAGGAAAATGGACAGCTATTTCAAATGAGGGACATGAGAGATAGAGAAGTGCATAATATTTTCTTCATGTTTGGAACTAGCTAAAGGGAACCTTTAGTTTCCGACCCTGTATAAACCTATATTATGTACCAATGCTGATGACTCTATTCTCCCATCAGACACTTAGAGTTCATTGTCTAGGATGACACTCCAATGCAGTGCTGGAGAAAAGTTGCATTGTCAGGCGTGCTGTGCTGTCTTTCATATGCGATATCAAATCAAGGTCCAACAGCCTGTTCATTTTAAAGGTCCCATGGCAATATTTGAAAAGAGAAGACAGTTTGTTCAGTGTCTTGATCAACAATCCTTCAGATAAAATTGGTCATTATTTCATGGCCATTTGTAGGACATTGTGCAAATTAGCTGCCGAGTTAGCCTACAATACATGTTCATTAAACTTTACAGAAAATCCTGTGAAGCACTTTGCAATGTTTCAACGATGTGATAAGGAGTTATATCAAACGCTAAATTTATTTATTACTTCTACAGGCACTACACTGAGAGAGGATGATCGATGCTAAAGAGTCTCTGTCCTATTCTTTCTTTTATTGCAACATGAAGAACTTTTTTTGCCTAAATTTTAACACTTAAGAGTTTGTAACCGAACCTTTTCCTTTTTTTCCTACCAACTCTCCTATTTCAATCGTGTACAAGGATCTCGCCTGAAGATTTCTGCTGTCAAATGATGTCAAGGTTTGACCGACACACTGAGAGACAACTACTATATAAATTTACATTTATATACGCTTTTCATGTCGGGAGGACATCCCTAGCTGCTGAGCAGTCCAGAATTTGTACCTGAGCTTGGGATGGGAGCCAAGGCGGGGGAGGAAGATGCGGTCAAAAGTACGGTCAAAGAGGAATGTCTTGAGGCAGACCTTGTAGGAGATGAGGGAAGGGTCGAGTCAAAGGGACTCCAGGAAGGAGTTCCAGAGTGTGGGGCACAAATGCTGAAAGCCCAACAATTGATAGCGGTGCAGGTATGACAGGGAATGTGAAGCAATTTGGTGCCTGCTGAATGGAGGAGGCAGCTGGGTTGGTAGGGCTTGAGAAGATCACAGACCAGCAAGGGTTTAAAGGTCAGCACGAGGATCTTGAACAAGCTCGAATGGTACAGAAAAAGGGATGCCTGAAATCAGGTAGTTTCATGTCCCCTCAGTGAAGGCCACCAACAGGCAACCTTTATAGATTGTCTGTAATGTCTTGAAGTCGAAAGGCTTGTCCTGGCCTGAGCAGATCAGGTCCTATCTTCTGGCACTGTAGCTTGAGTTTGGCTAGTTTACCTGTGGACTGGATGTCCTTGAAGACTTCGGTTCTATTGTCAGTCCCAGAGTGGGTCCTCCGGCAAGAGCTTTCTTCAGACTTTCATTCACCTCGATCAGCTCCAACTCCAGGTTCACACGTTCAGTCTCTTTCACCTTGCACTCGTCCTCCAACTTCTTCAGCTTAGTTTCAAGAGCGACCTGGGACTTTTTACCTTTAGATTTTTATGAAGAGAGAAGAAAAAAAGCAATAATACGAATTTAAAATATTCCCTCAGACATCAGTTTATAGCTTGATCCATTTCAACAGCATTGTTCTCATACAAACCTTTTTTTAATGGCAGTGACATTGTCATGGCAGAAATAGACTATGGTGCTGAAATCTGTGGCTTGTGATATGCTAATTACCACCAGGGATAATTATCACATCACTGGCAAATCTGGTCCAGTGAGGCCAGTCAATTACAAGAATGTCTATGGCTGTGGCCCCCTTCCTACCCTCACAATGGCTGGGCCCCTAAGTTGGTTTGCAGTTGTTACTGTACATCTGGTCCTTATATTGGAATGTTGGTCAATGGGATACCATTTTAATTCAGATTTTGTTTGTCGAGTTAAACCACATAAACTGTCAGCTGGCACTCCAGTGCTTTTTTCTAATGATGAATCTAACACTAGTAATAATAATCCTTGCATTTGATGTAGGGCCTTATCACGTCGCTGAGGTATCTCAAACCGCTTCTCAGAATATACTGTGAAGTGGATTGACTGTATATGTCGTGCGTGAAACGTGGCAACCAATTTCATATAGCAGTGTCCCACAAACAATTTTTTGGGGGAGGGATTATTATCGCCGGAATGCAATCCGCCAATCGAAGAACAAATGTGTTCCTACTTACTGTTAGATAAACAGAGGCTTGTGGAGTAAGGAAATTGCCTAAAGTTTCACCCCGCCCGGGAATTGAACCTGGGTCCTCTCGCTTGCAAGGTGAGGGCGCTAACCACTATGCTACGGGACTCCACAAACCCACACGTGGGTTTAGTGTTCGGTTCCTTGCCCAGGCGTGCATGTAGAGAAATCAGTTGAGCTTTTTGTTGTATTTTTGAAATTTTTTAATTAAAACTTGAGTGTTGCTGAAATCTTTGGGACAACTAACTTGGAGAAGTTACACACCCAAAGTTGTGAGAGAATTTAATTAACATTGGCAGATATAGAGCTGTCCTTTCCTATGATTTAAATTAGGAAAAGCTATTGGTGTATAGCCAAAGCATTAATTTATGATGGGCAGAAAGTTATTTGAATGAAAGACGAAAAGTTCAATACTCTTTAATAAAACTGTGCCATAAGGCTGACCCGGACAGATTATAGGGTGCGGGTTGTTAGATCTTGTGAAACTCTACCCGAGCAAAACAAAAGTTTATAAAGTTTTTAAAAAGTAAACAGTAGACAATAATGGGCAACTCTGAGGTATCTTATCCGATGCATCAATGTTTAGTAATAATAATAATCCTTGCATTTGATATAGTGCTTTTCACATCTTCTCGATGTCTCAAAGCGCTTCACAGAATATGCTGTGAAGTGAATTGACTGTACATTTGTGGGCGAAACGTGGCAGCCAATTGCGCACAGCAGTGTCCCACAAACAGTCGTGGAATGAAAATGAAAATTATTGTTTTGTTTTTTGGAGGAATTATTATTATTAGGCGTGTGGAGTAAGATGCCCAAGGTTTCGCCCTCTGCCTGGAATTGAACCCAGGTGTTTCGCTTGCAAAGCAAGTGCTCTAACCACTGAGCTACAGGACTCCACAATGTCATCACATAAACTATGTCACATGCAGAGTGATATTTATTGAATAGGGATTAGTAATATTTAGACGACAATCCTGTGCAGAAGCAGTGAAAAGTAACATAGGTAAAAAACAGGTGTTAACATTGTGATTAACTCAGGTTAGAGATGGAGCACTTTTGATAGAATTTAATATGAACTCCACTTTCGCTGTTTTACCTGTGCCCAACTCTTATGTTTTCTTATGGGTCAGTAGATTGCACATTAATAATTATTTCAGGGTCTACATTTCTCTATAAGTGTTACAAATCAAAGCATGTGCTTTTCATAGAATCAGGAAATGAAAAGACTGATACCTGTACAGGCTTCAATAGCTGCTCTCACATCCCTCTTGTCCTTTCTCAGCTGTGCCAGACGCATACGTAACATTTCCTTCTGTTTCTTCAACTCTTCTTCTTTCGACTGCAGTCTTTTTGCATCAGCTTCTACGCGATTCTTGCCATACTTATACTGATCAGCATCTGAAAATTGAATCCAGAAAATTGCTTCACACACAAGAATTGCCTGACCGTGGAACCAGGTGAAGAATCGAATGAGGCATTTAAGAGAGGGGATCATTATTTGGAAAGTGGAAGTATTACTATGTTACTCTGATTCCTATAACCCAGAATTGCAGAGATGCCAATGGATCATTGTTAACAGCCCACAGTACTGCTTTCCCTTCCTCTTACTCTGATCTCAGCACCATCACTCCACAGCCTTTGTGGCATCTTTAGGCTGACATTGAATCCACCTACTGTGGTAAAGGTGGGGAAGGGAGGAGACGGATCTCACACTAAAAGATACATGATTATCAACCGACACAACCGCAATTTGATGTTGTTATAATACTGGTGACAGTTATCACATCACTGATGACAATTATCACATACCTAAACATTTTTAATTCTAAACATCATTTATAGGTTAAATCCGCTTAACGTAGTGAACAGGGAAGAACTACCAGATGCACATCAACAACTGCAACATTTAGAGAACAGAGCAACGACTTGCATTTATACAACAGCCTTCACACAGGACAGTTTCTTAGAGCAGAAAGACCCTGAATGTTAGGGAATGTAGGGAAGACCATCGATGATCATTGCTTGGTCATTTTGTTTAAAAACTGGACTGAAATTACTTACTTGATGCAGTGCGTTTAACACTTGTGCCAGGAATTGCTTTCTTCACTTGACTGTTCACAGCCTTTTGCTTTGTTGTCCCGCTAGTTGCTGTTGATGGTACTTTTCTTCCTTTTGTCTAGGTTAAGAAAGAAACTATGAGTGAATACCTTCTCTCTAGGATCCCCTTCTGTGTTTGTTTTTCCTTTAACATTGTTGTATATATTAAATTTAATAAATATTTAACCCTTAGATTGCCAGCTCTCGCAGCCAAACCATCATTTTCATTATGGTTGAATCTAGGAGGAGGCCATTCAGCCCTTCAAGCCTATTCCGCCATTTAATTAGATCATGGCTGATCTGTACCTCAACTAATCCTTTCAATTCCAATTCCTGCTTTCTCCCCATATCTCTTAATACCCTGAAACACTTCCTAGCTGCTCTCTCAAATGTGGAGCCTGAAAGCAATATCAGTCACCCGATTATTACGGCAACAGACCCAGAGGCCAGTGTAAAAAAAGTGGAGGGGTTTTAGCCTCAAGAAAGAATATAGAACAGCTGGTTGAACTGGATAGTGAAAATACATAATAATGTACTGGAATACATGATTAAATTGTGTTGATATTAAAAAAAGTCATAAATTAAATATTTTAATAGTGAATCATGTCCATCAAGTGCAAGAACTTACATGGGAAATATAAATATATGTTTTGGAGAAGCTGCCACAGTATCTTGTTTTGCGCATTGTATCTTAGCCTTTCATATGCAAGTCAAATAACCGCCTCTCAAAGCAGTTTTCATCACAAGTTTGTTTAATTCCGAATTAAGTTAAACCGAGGTTCCCTCTGCCTGTTTGAATGGATTGAGAAAGGAGTTTGTCTCGGTGTCTTGACCAATAAATGGTTAGAATAATTGATCATTCACCCATGGTTGTTGGTGGAGCATTGCATTGCAAACTGCTGCCACATTTGTCTATAAAAAGCAGTCAATACACTTTTTCATCCTAAGGAACACCTTAAGAAATCCCACAATATTTGCCCCATTATTTCTGATCTGGAATATGTAATTTTTCCCTCTGAAGAAGCCTGTTTATTTAGAATCATAGTTTGTGGAAAGTTTATGCATACTTTTCTGTCCTGTTGCCATCAGTAGATTGAGTGTTCTAAAGCCCAAAGCCAATCTGCAACCAGAAAAGGTATTTGTGGGCTACTGAAAAACACTATTTTTTTCATTGAAGTGCTTGTCCTTTTTAAGATTCATCTGACCACGAGATTGCCAGACGTCTATGGTCTTTTGTACACATTTCCACACAAAGCCAGCTCTTCCTGTGGTTTTTGGCACTGGGGTGTGTCTTCCTCCAAAGCAGCCAACCACACAAAATACTTCTTGTGTAGCTTTGTTCTTAACCAGGCACTGATATCAATGCTGCTTTGTAGCCTTGGGTCTGGGAATAACATCCATTCTTCCTGACCTTTATTTGATCTTCTGGTCATCACCCAGACTGATGCAAAACTGTGGCAATACTGTACTGATCTGACTTCAGGAATCTTTTATCAGATCACGTTCAACATGACAGACACTAGCGTACATTTATACAGAGGTGATGTGATTTATTTTGACTTTGTGGTGAAGTAACACTGATGTACTGCTTTATACATTTTTGTGAGACTTTCTACATTCCCCAGTGCCAGTTAACAAGGTTACAACAAACTGCACAAAGCATCAGGCATTAGCGGTCAGCAATGCTGTCCAAATAGCTTCATCAATGGTGTCTTGACATCCTTTGCTTTGTATATGTAAGTGTCAACATGGATCAGTTGGTACTACTCTAGCCTCTGAGTCAAAAGGTTAGATTTTGAGCCTCATGTCAGAACCTGAGCTCATAATCTAACCTGGCATTCTAGTGCAGTAAAACAAGAACTTGTATTTTATGGGACTTTATCACTGAGCTATCTCAAAGTACTTTACAATTAATTACTGTCAAGTGTAGTGACTGTTTCTGTAGGCAAACAGAGTAGTTATTTGTGCTAATAAGATTCCACAAACAGCAATTGGGTGAATGAACATTTTTTCCGTAGGTTTGTTGGTCAGAACATAGGAAGAAGCTCTTCTTTGTTTTGAATAATGTCATGGGATCTTTAATGTCACCCAGGTACCCGAGACCTTGGTTTAGCATCTCATCCAGTTGATGGCACTTCTGACAATACAATACATCACTGGAGACGATAAGCTCAAAATCCAATGCAAAACTTGAATGCACAATCTTCTATCCCTGAGGTGAAAAGGCTACAGACTGAACCAAGTTGGCACTGAGGGACTGCTGAATTGTTTCAGGGGCCCTTTCAGATGCGACATAAAACCAACGTCCCATCTGCCCATTAAGGTAGACTCTAAGATCCTTTGGGGGGGTGGGGGGGGGGGAGGTGGTCTGCATTGTTGGAGAATGTCATGCTTTGGAGGAGATGTTAAACTGAGGTCCCGTCTGCCTATAGAGTTTAAAGATCCCAAAGGCACCATTTGAAAAGAATGGGAAATTTCTCACAGAGGTCAACAATCCTCCAAGAGAAGCTGGTTATTCATTTCATGTCTGTTTGTGGGACCTTGTAGCGTGCACACTAGTTACTGTGCCTATGTGCAAACAGTTACTATGATTTACAGCAATTCCCTGTGAAGCACTATAGTCATTATATTATTATTTATTAATAAATGGGGGAAATGCCTTTGGTGGAGGCTAGCATCTATGCATTGTGGAGAGCTTTTTCCACAAAGGGGAGAAAATTAGAAGCAGAGACTTCAACAACAACAATTTGGATTTATATAGCGCCCTCCACCCCGGACGGCATCTCAGAGCGCTTTATCAACTCTAGTGAGAAAGATGAGAAAGTTAAACTGTAAAACGTGGAACTGGCACTGATCATGGGTGAGTTGGGCAGAGGAAAAGCATGATCACCTCAAGTCATGAAATGATTTGCCAGGGATGGCTATCGGAGCAGAATTGTTTGGGGTTGCACTCAGAGTAAAAGCAACGGAGAGTATGGGGAAAGAGCAGGCAATTGAGATTAAGAAGATGGAGGAGAAAACACCAAAGCTAATATAATGTGGCATCAGTTTTCGTCTCAAACTACTTCATTTATCTTCACAAGATAACACGATTAGTTCAGAAGAAGGCTCTTCAGTCCATCTGATCTCAGCCTTCAAGAATACCCACCCCTTGCATCATAGCATAGGGCTGGGAAATTGATAAAGACTGTTTCAATACACTGATGCCTTACTATTTTTCTTAAAAAGAAGGAAGCTTAATGAGGACTTTAAAAATGAAGTTGCTTTCTCCTGCTGGTTCTCAGGGTCAGTGTCATGTTGCTAAACCCAAGATAATTATTTTAGGTAACGATGAAAGCTATGCCAAAATAGGCAATTAAAACAGTGTGATCAGCAGTCAGAGATTTATGTACATGGATCAATGACTACAGCTTTCATGGATTGTTCCAGACAAGTTAGCGAGCATGTAGACTGGATAGATTAGTGTCATTAGATGTTGGAGGAAGTTATAGGCGTACTTGACTACTTATGTCTGGCAATGCAAACCAATAAATAATCAGTTAGGTCAACACAATGTCATTGACTACCAAAAAAAACAATGAAATGAAGACTTTTGCTTCAAAAATGTTCCTGTACTGTAGCAGACAAGGAACTGAATAAACAGAACTCCAAACCACCTAGAAACAGCAAAAAATAAACATTATTGTTCGTAGAAATCAAACAGATGGCTCTCTTTGCTTTTCCCTCCCACAACCTCCATCAAAACTGAATCCAACGATGAATATTCCTTGAGATAATAATCTAATTAATAAAACAGCAACTTAATGGGGTGATGCTAAGTGCAGTGGCAGGTTTAACACAAGTGATAGTATGGCTCCTAATGGGATTTCTCATTATAACTGTGCATCTTCAAACTTCACTGAACAAACTGCCATGGGGACACAGTGCAACTGAAAAATACTCCAAAGGAATATTTTGCATGAGAATTAACAGCAGTTAATTGCCTCACACTGTAGGCAGACCTGAAAAAAAGAAGCAGGGTCAATGAGTAATGCTATTCCAATCTATTATTCATTTTGTATCCATGATTATAATTTACCTTGTTCTTTTTAAAAAAAACAATAGAAGTGTAAATCGGGCTAAAGATGTTTATATGGAATCCAAGGCAATTAATATTTAAAAGGAGACACTGCTTCATTTCGAATTCTTACCTTTAATGGATATAAAATGAGAGCACAAGTGCAAGCTATGTGAAATTAGTCAAACATTTGTGCATGGTCTTAGAGGGTACCTGCAAGGCTGGCTTGAGCGCTCCCTTTTCCACAGCAGAAGTGTTAGTTTTACTAGACATAGATCGAGTGGAAGACAGAGGTGAAGAGACGAGCGTTTTGTTATTGTTAGAGGATAGTTTCTCAGTGGAGAGTTTATTGTGGGCACCAAGCGGATGTGAGTTGCGTGTAGTTAATTTTGGAGGCGGGATGTCGTACAGGTCGGCGCTGTCATTGTGAACCTCCTCGTACCAGGGTGGACTAGCGTTAGTAGAGAAAACCTCTGGTTCCTAAGATGTAGTATAGAAGAAGCATCAGATGTTAGAAGCAAATACATGCAGACAATAAGCAGCGTTGACAAAGTAACCACAAGTACATTGCAGTGAATGTAACCAAAGCCCAAGATGTTAAAGTAGAAAGACTCTTCCTTCACCAGGCATAATCAGTCTCAGTAAAGCAACACATATAGAAATTGATAATAGCGAAGCTAGGATCCCTCTTTTAGGGCTTTTACTTGCATTTCCCGTGTGCCCGATCCACCATCGGCAGCTGAGCCTTCAACCTCTTTGGCCCCACCTTCTGGAACTTCCTGCTTCAATCCCTCTATCTCACCCTCTCTCTATCTGTCTTCAAAAGCTGCCGAAAAACCTACCTCTTTGACCGTGCCTAAAGTCACCTCACCATCTCCTCCACTGAATCCCTAGCTCAGTGTCCCACACTACTCCTGTGAAGTGCACTGCTCCATGTGAAGGGTGCTATTTAAATGCAAATTGTTGTTGCACGGTTGAGGGCATTTCCAGACTTGTCCCGGATAACTGCTTTGGTTTAATTTATAAGATTTATATTTACTATTGCTGAAAGCAGCCCTGTACATATTGTAACCTAGATGCTATACCTGCCATTAACAAACTATTGGTGTTATGCTGAGCTAAGTTCTTTCCTGCATTAAGGGCAGTGTCCTTTTCCAACAATGCGTGCACACGTCACAGCGATACTATGTAGTATGTTCGAGTGACCTTACACTAAGCACATAACCCTGTCCTTTGGTGAAAGCTGGAATTGCGATTACCAGGATCTCGGAATAGAACCAGCAGTGGCACTTATATTCAAATAAACAGAGTAGTATAAAGAGCAGTGGCCATTGATTCCACTTCCCTGCCAACACACTACTGCTGTGTTAACCCTTACACTTCATCACATTAGGCCAGAGGTACTCTTTAGCCCTGTAATTTGATTCTCAGAATTTCAGATAAAAACGTACCTGAGTTTGCATTTAAAATTTCTCTCCCAGTTGGTCATGCCATTTGAACTTTAATACTACCCAATTGCTATCAATCATTTACTGGATTAAAAAAAAACCTGTTTACATAACACAAAAAAAAAATCTTGTTACGTAATCTCTTTACATCTATTACTTGCAGGCTTCATGGGGCTGGCTCACTTATGAACTCTGAAGGGAAATTTTAAGGTGATAAGTCACAAATCATGACACAACTGTGCTCAAAACCCAGGCCTGCATTAGCACCTGAATCCTAGGGAAATAAAAAAAGGATCACAACCACAAAGATGAAACCCTAGAGTTGTCTTGGGTTTGTTGCCTTTCCCACATGGGACTGAATCCTCTTTACTACTGCAGTGAAGACATCTTGGGCAATGATGACATTACTCCGACTTCTTACCGTTCCATTCAGACAAGGTACATCATCATAATGAAGGGACACTCCACGAGGGCACGCATACCCATTAGCTAGGTTGCCACCATATCTATTTGGAGATATCGGCCGCCTGTTTAACAAGCTGAAAAGTAATAAAGAAGAAAACGAATGTGTAGGTGTGTATGATTGTCTGAGTCACTTTCGACTTGTCAGATTTTCAGTTTTGATTGTAAGTAGCAATATGGGAATGAATTGGGGAGAAGAGATAATGATGGTGGTTTTGAAAGGGGAGAGTATCGAGTCCAAGGAAAAGGTTGATGATATCATGAAGCAGCAAGTGGGTGGATGGGAGTTTTTATGAGAATGGTATCAAGGCTAAAGGTGCCGGGTATCATGCAGAAGATAATAATAATAATCTCTGCATTTAATATAGCACCTTATCACGTTTTTGAGATGTCTAAAGCTCTTCACAGAATATATTGTAAAGGGGATTGACTGTCTTTGTGGGTGAAACATGGCAGCCAATTGTGCGCAACAGTCGGGGATTGAGTGACCAAATTATTTATTTATTTTTTGGAAGGGATTATCACCCTCGGAATGCGATTTGCCAATGGACTAACAACCAGGTTCCTACTTACTGCTAGGTAAACAGAGGCGTGTGGAATAAGGGAAACTTGTCTAAGGTTTCGCCCTTCCCAGGAATCAAACCCAGGTCCTCTCACTCATGAGGCGTTGCGCTAACCACTATGCTACGGGACAAGATGAAGGAAGAGAGAGATCAAAAGTGTGCAGCGGGTCTGGGGAATGGCTCAATTATGAACACGAGAGGAAGTGGAGGCAGCTGAATGGATCCAGTTAATTTTGAACATCAGAAAGTCCATGACTTCCTTGTATTTGGAGTCAGAGGTGTGGAGAGAGAGTGCATTGGAGGTTGGGTGGAGCAGATTTTTTAAAAAAATCAGAAAAAAAGAGATTAAATCAATAAAAATCCTGGCGTGATTAAATCAGTTCAATTTTGCATTCGAACTGTTATTTGTTAATACAGGAACAGATCCATGTCTTATGATGCTTACATAAATCAATCACAGTTAATGAACCATGTGGTTTACGGATATCCATAAGAGCAATAAAAAATATAATCAATTATAGCTGCCCTCATGACACCACCATTCACCTAATTAAACGTATCAAACTATACCTTACAGCACAAAAGATTCTGAACAAATAGACTTACTCCAATCCCAGGAATATTAGAGCAAAAGCCCATTAGGGAGCATACACAAGCTTACTGTGTGCATATTTAATAGCGAGACTGCGACTAATTATATGGATATATAATTAGAAATTTTGTCATATTATTGTTCAGCCAAATATTAATTACCCCATGCACAAAATTAATTCTTACTTGAAGCATTGCTTGGCTGTCTGTATAACACTTGAAGTGGTTTCTACATCAATGTAATCATAGTGCAGGGCTTCGGGGGCTGTGGAGGTGCCACTTTCAGCCAGTAAAACCCCAAGCCACCGGCCCATCTCCTCCGCTGATGAGCTCTGTGGAAAGAGAATGGGAAACTCTTAGTAGGTTCTTATCTTACTTACATAGGTTTGATTATTTCCAACTCATCCACTTTTCTGAAAGGCAAGGTACATTTTTGAAAAGTATGGTTACAGTAAACTGTGTCCATCTTGCACCTGGAACATTTTACCATGACTGCGCCCTTAAGAAAAGTTTTGGTATATGATTTCAGTCTTTGTGCAACAGAACAGAGCATCTGCAGAAATGGCTTTGTCTGAAATTACAGCACAGGATATGAAAAGAGATCATGTTGTTTTTCACGTAGTAGAAAGTCATTCTTTTAATGTGATCCTTTTATGTTTTAAACACACGTTGCTAATGTTAACATGCAATTCCACTTTGTAAATATCAGCCATCGGCAGACATCCTTTTTCCAAACTTTACCAGTTTGGGATTTGCGTTTCAGGAATCTCTCGTAATGCAACATCCTGCAAGTTGGAAGCTGATATTAGGGACTGAAATACAGTTTGCGAATATCACTTTTGTGATCTCACTGTTACCTAGTGTCTCTCAGGTTGGACCTTTTGGAGTCACATCTCGGTTATTTTTGGTCAACTTGGTGGGCGCTTGACACTTGTGGAAACCCATCATCATGCTTGAGTATCCATCTCACAGTCATATCTCTACCCTTTGCTTCACCCACAAAACACAGTTATTCCACTCTATAGTATATCCTATGAAGCATTTTGAGACATCCTCCTGATGTGAAAAGCGCTATGTCAAACATAAGGAGTATAATTATTCAAGTAAGCTGTCGACATTATGACACAGAACATCCTTTAAATCTGGCTTGGGTATTAATATGCGCACTATCTTCCCAAGGTCCTCATTCCTTTCTGCTATCATGTATTTATAATTCAGGATCAAGTTATACTCTTACAATCCATTTCCAATTCCAGACACCAAGTGGCATTGTAGAGAAACAAAGTAGCATCAATCTATTGACATACAGCGCCACCAAGCACCCATTATCAGGTACTACACTGAGAACTGAAACAGTTCTTCTTTGTCCACTGTGTTGTCCTCCACATCTCCATCCCTCTCCTTCTCTGCCAATTACACATTTGCTGCCCACTCTAAGACATGATGCAGCATTGTCTGAGAGACAAACAGTGTCGTTTATTTTCCAAAGCAAGTTACCATGGGTCATTAGTGCAGGTATATCTTAGAGGAGATATGTAAAAAAGAATGCACAGTCTATTCTAGCGACCCTCTCATTTCTTAAGATTTTAGTGAAGCAAATTTAAGAAAATAAATGTGTATTATCAAACCAGGATTTTAAAAAAATCTTTCAGGCCCGTTTTGCAGAGAAGCTGAAACATTGCACGTCTAATGTTTTGAGCAGCAAGATTCATCAGAGATTTTGACAGAGAGGATAGCTCTACATTGTGGAGAAACAAGTGTGTGAATACTTTCATTGAATGGCAAGAAATGATTGTTATTTGCAGGACTGCAGTACTGATAGGTTTTGACGGTGTATTAAACTTGCAGGATTTCTGCCCCAATGCATGGTGAAAACACTCCTGGCTCACACTACTCCAGTGCAGCTGGCACATCTCCACACAGCTAGACTTATACACATGCACCAGGTGAGAGTACAGCAGCCTTCTGTGCTGCCATTGTAATTATATCCATTAAAAAAGGGAAAATAGTTGTAAGATTTTGAATGCACATGTGACCAGTAATAATAATAATAATAATAATCCTTGCATTTGATATAGCGCTTTTCACGTCGGGAGGACGTCCCAAAGCGCTTCACAGAACACACTGTAAAGTGAATTGACTGTATATTTGTGGGCGAACGCGGCAGCCAATTGCGCACAGCAATGTCCCACAAACAGTCGTAGATTGAAAATGACCAATTTATTATTGTTTGGGGTTTTGGAGGGATTATTATTAGGCTCTGTGTGGAGTAAGGAAACTTGCCCAAGGTTTCGCCCTGACCTGCCTGGAATTGAACTCAGGTCTCTCACTTGCAAAGCGAGTGCTCTAACCACTGAGCTACAGGACTCCAGTACAGTAGTAAGCAACCTGGAATGTATTGAGACATAAATTGATCATCACCGGAAAAAAAGGGAGAAGGTTACAAGAATTTTGTTGCCATGTACATATACCCACACACACACAGGGTCCTGGTCTCAACCATCTTTCCTGGAAACCCATTCCAGTCGTTATTTATCATTTGACTAAAGATAAACTTTCTGGTATCTGTCCTGAAATTGCCCTTTACAACTTTAAATTTAAAAATATATACATCTCTTTGCAGCCCATCTCAGTCGTCTTCTCTTGAGACTGAAAAGCCCTAGCTTGTCTAATCATTGTTCATAGCTCATTCCTTTAAGAGGGCTGTCGTTGACCTAATGATCCAGAAGTCGGCCACTATAGCCCCAACAGCTTGCTGGCAGCGGTAAGCAAGCGAGCCAGCTGTGTCCACAATGCTACCCGACTATAAACAGATCTGTGATATAATGAAATGCATTATAAAGTGGCTTGCACTATAAATGTAAGACCACCTCTCAAACCAGCCACATTATCTGCCTCAGAAAAAGATTAAAAATGAGAGTGTGACACAGGGAATGTATTATTTGGCAATCAGCAAAATAAGATTGTTTTAAAAATAAAAGCTTCACAAGCTACTTAAAATATTAAACAAAATCCCCCCTTCAACAGTAAATATAATCAAACGTAATATTATAAGCAATAGCTCTGAGCTCTCCAATTTTTGAGCATCAAGAGATTGACCCAAAATGTCACCTAGTCCTACCTTGTAAGATAACTTTGTCTAAAAATTTTAAGATTGCACAGAATTGTGGAATAATCCAAAAATTCAGTCTAAAATTGGAAACCTGCTTTTTCCTGCAGTTCTCAAAATGAAATGGCTTCTAAGCAAGATTGAATTTAAGAATTTTCCACAATTCCATGTGATCTTCAAAGTTGAGACAAAATGATTTTAGTCTAAGATTAGATGCAAGTTCAGGCCCCTATTATTTTCACACAGATTGTTCTTGGAATGAGTACAAGTACCTTTTATATATTTTACTTGTAGGATGTGCACTGTGTATTGTCACTGTTGGGATGCCCACTTTGCTATATTACAAACATTGGGCTTCCTATGATAATGTCACAAAGCTATGAACCAGCCATTTAGACTTGACTGAGCTTTCTACAAAGGTAGTTTGTATTTGGCTCAACATGTGGAAATGGGGAAATTTTACTTCCCCAGCAGTTGTATACACTGCCCGCATTCAAAATATACAGAGCTGCACTCCGGCAGGAGAATGAGCACAGACAGGAGGCTTTGCAGTTGTTTAAAATAGACTTTGTTTTCCCCATGGGCTAACTGGAAACTGCTGACCCAGGTTTTCCTTTTGTCAACTAGAGGAGGGAGAAGGAATATTAACAGCTTGTTTCAGATCTGTTTCAGTGGAAACTCATTTTCTCTTTTCTTCCCTCCTTATCCTCTCCTTCCCCCTCCACACAATCAGCCTGCCACAGTTATAAAAATCAGCCTTGCATTTGGTTAGCGCCTTATCACATCAGAAGGATATCTCTAAATTGCCTCACAGGATTTACGATGAAATGAAGTGACTGTATATTTGCAGGTAAACGCGGCAACCCAATTGTGCATAGCACTGTCCCACAAAAGCCATGAAATTACCGATTTTACTTGGGGGATTGTTGGCCAGGACACAGGGAGAAATTTCCTTCTCTTTTCGAATAGTGCCACGTGATCTTTAGGCAGACCGGACCTCAGTTTAACATCTCAACCGAAGCACGGCATCTCGGATAATCCAACATACCCCAGTGCTGCATTGGAGTGTCAGTGTAGTCTATCTGAGATCAAGACCCGACCTGAAATTTGAACCCGCAACCTTCTGACTACCACTGAGTTAGGCCGACACTGCCACTGTTGGTAACACTGTCACCACTGAGTCAGAAGGTTGTTGGTTCAAGCCTCACATTGGAACTATGGACTCACAGTCTATGCCGGGGAAGCATTGCATTACCATTACTCTGGCGAGGTGGCATAGTGGATTCAACGAGATCCCTTTGAACAATCTGTTCTTCTCTTTGAAACCAAAATGCAGTCTATCAGAACAAGCTAAATGGTTCATGTAATCCTAAAGTCCCATTCTCCTCACTTTTGCCCATCAAACCCACATTCTACAGATCACGCCAGCACCTATCTTCATCATTTGTTTCAATATAGTATGTTATATATACACAAACATGAATACAACACAATAAGCATATTTGCAACCTTTTGTGATGGTTCGTTGTGATAATTATTGCCAGTATGAATTACAGGACAGTGGAGTTCTGTAGCTCAGTGGTTAGAGCACTCGCTTTGCAAGTGAGAGACCTGAGTTCAATTCCAGGCAGAGGGCGAAACCTTGGGCAAGTTTCCTTACTCCACACAGAGCCTAATAATAATCCCTCAAAAACCCAAAACAATAATAAAATTGGTCATTTTCAATCTACGACTGTTTGTGGGACATTGCTGTGCGCAATTGGCTGCCGCGTTCGCCCACAAATATACAATCAATTCACTTTACAGTGTGTTCTGTGAAGCGCTTTGGGACGTCCTCCCGACGTGAAATGCGCTATATCAAATGCAAGGATTATTATTATTATTATCACCTGCCACACGCCACACGTTATGAAATGCCGCAAATTTCACCTCATAATTCATTGCACTCGGATATGCAATAATAATTCTTGCATTTGCATTTTGCAATGCAACATATATCAAACAAATAAAATATACAAATATGCAATGGGGTAAAAGATGCATTATATGATGGGATAATGGTTACTGGTGATCATCACATTCACTGAGACTTGCAGTCAAAACAATCCTTTAAATATCAAATGATTTCAGTGGCAAACACTTGTCCCTCCTCTTGATGTTAGCAAAAAGCTTTGGTCTAAAACCTCTGGTGCTGCCGTTGTTTTGCCATCTGCAGAGCAAAGTCTTTCATTGCCACTTCATGAGGTAAAGTCTAACATTCTAAGGGATAATTATCACATCGCATGCCACAATTTTCACTCCAATATGCCAAGAAAAGCATTTTTTCAATGCTTTTACCTATCTGGGAAATACAAGGTCATAGGGATTCGTTGAAAGAAGCAATACTGAACCTCTAGAACTGCGACCTCCTGTCCATTCCTGACAAGTCGGAAAGCCAGGGGGTGTTTGGAATCCAGGCCTGGAATGAGTTCACATCCACGTAGAGGGAAAGATGCCAAGTGTGTTTTCAGATCAGTCCTGTCCTTGTGCAGAATCAGCTTGTTATCTTTCACTCTGCACCAGCGCTCTCGCCATCGATTGTTAGACAGCACATTCAGGTATCCTGTAGAGATCAGAGCAGCAATGAGAGAGGGCAACCTGTTCCAATCTTAGGTTACGATTCAGATACTCTACTTCCCACTTCCTTTTCCAAAGCGTCTGTGCCCACTGAACAACAAATAACCACTGCTACTCATTGCTGAAGTTTGTGGTTTGTCCCTTTTTGTGTAGCTTGTATTTAAGACAAAAAACATTCTGTCACAGTCTTGACAAGACATTAATAGAGTACATCAAAATGCCAGGAAATGTGCACATAATTTGTAAGATGTGTGAATAACTTCTGTAACACTGCATTAACAATTTGAACTTCTGCTCTTTCATGTTCTCCTGTACGGTGATGCACTATTAGTGGTATCTGTCCTTCAGATGAGATGTTAAACTGAGTCCGGTCTACCTGTTCATGTGGACATTAAAAATCCCATGGCACTATTTGAAAAGAGAAGGGAGTTTCTCCAAGTGTCCTGGCTAACAATCCCCCAAATAAAGTTGGTCACTCGCTCCATGACTGCTTGTGGGACATTGCTGCGCTCACAAAATACAGTCAAATCCATAACAGTATATCCTGTGAAGAGCTTTGAACCGTCTTGATGATGTGATAAAGCGCTATATCAAATGCAAGGATTATTATTAGTCTCTGGTGTACTGGAGGGGGATCATCTCTCATCCACTAACAATGCCCTGAAACTGGCTAGGAAGTGTGCAAGAGCAGTCTGATGTGAAAGGTGCTACACAAATGGAATTTGTTGTTGTTGTCTGGCAGCTTCACCCATCAGTGTGGTGCAGTGGAGTGGGATGTGGGCAAACATTACTTGAAGAAAAAAAAAACTCAAAAAAATGTATCTCTTATCTCAGGGTGGGGGAGCAGCAAACCATAAAAACACAAACTACAAAAACACACAAATCAGTAGCAAACACTTCCAATTCAACAGCAACAATAACAACTTGCACTTATATAGTGCCCTTCGCACAGGGTAGCATCTCAGAGTGCTTAACAGTGGCGGAGCCTGACTCCGAGCCGGGGGAGGGAGGGATGAGGTAGCCATAAGCATGTTCAAACACAAAAGTTTTCAGGCGGGACTTGAAAAAGGGGAGAGAGGGGGCAAGGCAAAGGGATTGAGGGAGAGTGCTCCAGAATTTTGGTGCGTAGTGGCTAAAAGCACGACCTTTGATAGTGAGGTGGAGAGTGCGAGGGACGAGCAAGAGGCCAGTGCTGGGCGAGCAGAGGAGCCGGGTGAAGTGGGAAGTGAGGATGTCGGAGAGGTAAGGAGGTGCCAGGAAGTGAATGGATTTGAACATGAGTGTGAGGTTCCTGAAGTCGATCCGTTCAGTGATGGGGAGCCAGTGGAGCTTGGCCAGAACTGGTGAGATCTGGGTACGGAGTTTGGTCCTGGTCAGTATACGGGCAGCAGTTTTTTGAATGAGATGGATCTTGTGAATGGTGGAGCTGGGGAGGTGACAAACGCATGTACGAGGGTTTTGACTGCATTTGGAGTAAGGTACGGTCAGAGGCTGGCAATGTGGCGGAGGTGGAAGAAGGCGGTCATGGTCAGGGACTGGGATGTGGGGAGGAAGAACAGTTGGGGGTCGAACCTAGGCCTAGGTTGCGCACTAGTTCGATGAGGAGAGCCCAGGAAGGTTGAGGAGTTTAGATCTGCAGGAGCGAAGATGTTGATGGGAGCCAAGTATGGCTTCCGTCTTGTCCATATTCAGCTGCAGGAAGTTTACACTCATCCAGGCCTTGATGTCTGCCAGACAAGCTGATAGAACATCGGCGGACCTGGAGTTGCTACTGGAGGAGGCAAAGTAGATTTGTGTGTCATCTGCAAACATGTGGAAGTTTACCCCGTGTCTGCGGATGACATCAGCCAGAGGGAGCCTATAGATAAGGAAAAGAAGAGAGCCAAGGATGGAGCCCTGGGGTGCCCCGCAGGTGACCGAGTGGGGGCGGGAGGAAAAAACATTTGTTGAGATGAAATGGAGGCGGTTGGTAAAATAGGATTCGAACCATGCGAGTGCAGTCCCACTAAGATAGATGAGGAAGGAGAGCCGATGGAGGAGGATGGCGTGGTCAACTGTGTCGAATGCAGCAGAGCAATCCAGGAGGATGAGGAGGCAGAGGGAACCCTGGTCACAGATAATGATGATATCGTTTGTGACTTTGACAGGTGCTGTCTCTGTAGTTTGGGCAGGGTGAAAACCAGACTGCAGGGTCTTGAGGAGGGAGTGGAGGGAGAGGTGTGACCGAAGTTGACCTGCAACAATGCGTTCCAGGACTTTGGCAAGGAAGGGTATGCTGGAGATGGGATGGTAGTGTGCGAGATTAGAGGGATTGAGGGTGGGTTTTCTGAGGAGGGGTGTGATGACAGCGGTTTTCAGGGGGAGTGGAACAAAGCCTGAGGAGAGAGACTGGTTGACCATGTTGGCCAGCAGGAGGGAGAGAGGGGGAGTTGAGTGACCAGCAGCTGGGTGGGGAGGGGTCAAGGTAGCAGGTGGTAAACTTCATCTGAGTGATTGTGGTTGAGAGGGAGGAGGGAGAAATGGTCGCAAAGGAGGGTTAGTGGCAGGAGCTGTGGTGAAGGGAGAAGTTGATGCGGATGGTCTGGGTGGGGCGGAAGGGAACATGGGTGGGGGGGGTGGAGGACGATGCAACCAAGCGAATGCTTTAAATTTTTGAGGCAAAGAAGTCTAGGATCTCTTTGCACTTGGTGTTTGCCGTGAGGATAGAGGGGGCTTGAGGGGGTGCACGGAGAAGGTGATGGAAGGTGGAAAATAGCGTCTTTGGATTGTTGTTTGCCTCCAGGATGACTTTGGAGTAAAAGTCAGTTTTGGCCTGTGAAAGGAAGAGGCGGTAGGTGCGGAGGTGCTCGAACCAAACGCTGCAGGTGGAGGGCCAGAGGGAGAGGAGGTCCAAGGAAGAGAGGGCATTTCCAGGGGTGGAAAAAACTGGTGGATGGTTTGGAAGATGGGAGGAGGATGTGGGAGGAGAGGGAGATGAGGAAGTGGTCCGAGATGGCCTTGTCCATGATTGACAGGTCAAAAACGTCAAGGCCATGTGTAATGACGAGGTCGAGGGAGTGATAATGGTTGTGGGTCGGTGAGTCGATGTGGAGGGTGAGGTTTAGGGAGGAGAGAAGGGCAGTGAAATCCGAGGAGGTGGTGCAAGGAGAGGTTAGGTGGAGTTTGAAATCACCCATTATACGCAGGTGTTTAGTGCAGAGGGACAGAGATGAGAAGATAGAGATCAGTGAGGAAGGAGCCAGGAGGTTTGGGGGGGCCGGTAAACTAGGAGACACACTATTCTACCACGCACTAAATAAAATGAGCCTCCAACTGAGCTGCACATTAAACAGGAGGCCCATTGGTTTCATGATTTAGTTTTGAAAAATCATGATAATCTGAGGCAATTTTGCAAAGTATCATAACACGTCAATTAAAAAAAGGCAAACTGGTAAAGGGTTGGTATGGTTGGTATATTGATCTATACAGTGTTAGAATTACTTCTGACCAGAAGCAACTGCTTGATTCTCTTCCTAATAATAAGCAGCTTAATCCCTACTCTGTACTCAATTAGTTGATTTCAGTTGAGTGCTGATATAGATCAATTGGCCCTTGAAAAGGGAAGACAATGAGATGGGGTTACCATACTGGATGTTTATATTTAGTAATTTCTGCCTCCTCCCCCATCATCCTGGTCAGGCCAAATGCAGGAAAAAGGCTGGACTTGGCTATGATGCACATTGTTTAGTTGAATTGGCTGTCAACACTCATTTTATAGCTGTGTGTTTCACACTGCAAGAATTTCTCATTTGTTTTAAAATATTTACCATTTGACCAGATTTGCTTGGAGCCAATGGCTTTCATTAATCTATATTCTGTGCTGACTCAGCCAAGTTAGTGACTTCCAATGTTTGTGGAGTGGAGGGTGCTAAAACAAGCAAAGGCTAATGGCAGATCTCACCCTTTCTCTCCCACAGTGCGCAATTACCATTTAATTGTTTCCATATACATTCAACGTACATTTGAACGTGTGAGTGGGGCTTGAAAACATAAACAACAAATGTTTTCAACCCAATTTGTTAATGTACATCATACGAGGGTTACTTTTAATATGACATTTTTAAATAAAAACACTAAAGAATTAAAAACAATCTTAAACTTATTTGTCTCTTGAAAGCACATCTACGTTAAAAGCTATTGGTTTATGCAACTGAAATAACTCATGTATTGTAAATTAATCATTTAATGAGGAAAATCTCAGCTAATGTGGATCTGTGCTGAGAGCACCAACATAGTGTAGCGTACCACATGTAGGGATCTCTTCCTCGGCAGAGGAGGTCTGTTCGTCCGTAGATGGCTTCTTTTTCCCCAAGCCAATAATCCTTGTGATTTTCTTCCCAGTCACTTTGCTCACAGCCCCCTTTGGTTCTGCCTTTGAATTTTTCTTCCCTTTTCCTGTTTGACAAAAGGCATTCAGATTTCTCGATCCAGTCATTTGTTAACCCATCAGCCACTCTATTGATTATTACATTAACACATTAACACAGAAATACTATGTCTTTCCAGTTAAATACACAATCCACGTTTTATACAATCATGTGTCAACACTGCATTCAAATGATAAGACACATATTATTAGTTTAGTTCTTAAGATCTGACTGTAAACAACATTTCTTATCAGCAGCAATCTTGGTTGGAACAGGGTCTGAACAAACAGACCAAGTATGCTCGTAAACCACTGGGGCAGAAGAGCAAAATAAACATTCTGGAGGGGGGGGTGGGAGTGGGGGCTCACCCTAGCACTGATCTCTGGGCTATAAAAGTGAATACTGAACATGGCAGGGTAGGTTGCGTTCATACCACACATCTACAATTTACACTTGTATAGTACCTTTCATATCAGGAGAACATCTTGAAGTGGTGTAGAATGCTGGATGGGCATCTGAGCTAGGGGTGGGAGCCGGAGGGAGATTTTCATTTCAGTGAACAACAACAAATTGCATTCATAGAGCGCTTTTTATGTTGGGCATCCCAAGGCACTGGACAGTGAAGGGTTTCCATATGACCTCAGGGTTGGTGTTGAGAGGGGCGGTGAAGAGGGGAAGATAGGAGGATGACCAAAGGCTCAGTCAAAGAGGAAGGTCTTGAAACAGGCCTTGAAGGGGCAAGGGAATGGGCGAGGCGGAGGGGCTCTGGGATTTAAAGTCTGTACCATCCCTGTGCTTAAACAGAAAGGGGAGGGGAAAGATGCCTGAAAGTGCAGTCAAAGAGGTACATTTTCAGTTGGAGATGAGTCTTGAAACAGCTAAGAGAGATAACAAGCCCAAGGGACTCCGTTTGGAATTCCAGAAAGAGGGGCCAGAATGCTGAACGCTCACTCGCTGATGTTGGGGAAAGGGTGGGGGACTTGAATCAGGCTGGTGCTCTCTGAGAGATGGGTTGAAGGAAGTCACAGAGATAGGGAGAGGCAAAACCATGGAGGTATTTAAAGGGAAGAACAAGGATCTTGGACTTGATCCGCTGGAGGATGGGGAACCAATGGAGTAGGGCGAGGATAGGGGAAATAGGTTCACGGAGCCTGGTGATGAGATGGCCTGATGGTATTTGTGCAATGTGCTCTACGAAATTGTGTGCATGATATAATTGCCATACAAGAATATGTGCTTACACTCGCAGTGTACATTTAGCTTGTGGTACACAATGGGTGCCAAGCTCTGAACTCACTGCAGGGTATGGTATTAATGTGTGTACACCATTTCATTCATTTTGCAAGTGTGCTGTAGTGACAGTGCAGTCAACTTCAGAGTTGATGTAAGATAAGCCCAACACTGCGAAGAGCTATTTCCATTGATTGGTTACTCGGCCACCAATTCTCCAGATTAAAAAAACGGTTACTCACTTTTTATGGGACATTGATCTGCATAAATTGACTTCTACGTTTACCTATAAATACACAGTCGCTACACTTTACAGTAAATCTTGTGTAGAGCTTTCTAGACATCTCGACAACGTGAAAAGGCACTAGTATCAATGCTAGGATCATTAATATTTAACTCAAAGGCCAGTTGGTTGGAAAGAAGGTGATAATTGAGGAGGCAATCTAAAGCAAAATCTCTTTGGACTCAAGATCCTCTCTCTCATGTTCAAATCCATTCACTCCCTGCCTCTCCGACCTCCTCACTCCCCAATCCACCACCCGGCGCCTCCGCTTGACTGGCATCAGCCTCCTGCTCATCCCTCGCAGCCTCTGCCCCACCAGTGAGGTCATGCTTTCAGCCACTATACCCCAAAACTTTGGAACACTCTCCCTCAATCCCTCCGCCTTGCCCTCTTCTTCCCCTTTCAAGTCCCGCCTGAAAAGTTTCCTGTTTGACTGTGCTTATGGCCACCTCCCCTCTCCCCCAGGCTTGGAGTCAGGCTCCGCCACTGTTAAGCTCTCTGAGAGGCTATCCTGCGTGGAGGGCGCTACATAAGTGCAAGTTGTTGTTGTTGAGCTAGCAATGGTCAGACTTTACTTTGCCAATTTTCAGCAGCCTGTGGTTTTAGTCCAACCACCTCATGAAGGGTACAGCATAATTTCCCAATCTCAATGGATGCCAGCTGCCCATCAGGAAAAGAGATGACGATCATACTAATTTCATGTGTAGCTCTCTGTACATATTCCATTTAAATTTCTTTGTTTAATTGTGAGCAGAGAGGAGTCTGCTAAAGCCTAGATGATCTCATGTGTACTCTTAAGATTGCCTCCAGTGCAGACTGTCAAGCTGATCTGCCACATGGCATAAGGCCTGGACTGCGCTGAGTACTAATCAACTTGTATGTATCTGGATAAACTGCTTGAATTCCATCCAACTATATTTATCTACAGCAATGCATCTGCAATGGGAGGGGACCTTATAATGGTAACATGGAAGATGCCAAATTGATAAACTCAAAACAATACTTTCAGATCTGCCAAAGCAGCAGGACAACAGGTCATAGACTTGTGGTTGTAAAGGGAACAACATAATAATAATCCTTGCAATTAATATTGTTGAGACGTTTCAAAGTGCTTCACAGGATATATTGTAAAGTGGAGTGACTGTGTGTTTTATGCGCATTTTTTCCCTTTCCCCAATCTCAATTGTATTGCTTTAAAGGAACCACCTGGCCTCCCCTTTACAACCTCAGCCTCTCCCCTGGTATATATTATTATCTAAGATCACTGCTGTGGATTTTATTGGCCTGATCCTCTATGATCCAGTGATTCTCAATCTGTTTCCTCTCTATCTCGACCTCTCTATCTCGACCAGATACTCATATATTCAATAGCATCTGACCAAAGTCTGGCTTTCTATTTCTCTGCTTCACACCTTGGAAAATCACTGCATGCTCCTCGCCACCATCTAAACCAAATAAAAGCAATTCCTTTTGTTGGTACAAAAAGTTCCCTTTGATTATACTCTTTAATCCTATGCCAGCACATCTGAGGGCATTTTAAAAAAATCAGATGTGGATAAAAGCAACAGAGCTTCATTTAAGAAAGACAGCCTTTTTAATGACAATGAATAAATTGGACAATGGAGCTCACACATAATTTATATTATTAAAACTAAAGCTGATACTTTCCTCTTTAATGGGTGATCTGAGGTTAGTCTGGTTTATAGTTCCGTGCTATGGAATAATGCTATGGGATCAGGCTGCTAGCACGCCAGGAATGTATTCCACTCGTGCCTTTTCCAGCTCATAGTGTTGGGCCATCGTCCTTGCCTATGCTTGTATCAATATACAATTTCCAACAAACAGACCTAAGTATAACACACTTTATCTTGCATTACAGGAAAGTAAAATACAACGCAAATGAGTGTGAATGATAAACTTCCTTTTAATATAATACTATAATTGATTTACTTTACAATATATTCTGTGACGTGTTACTGTAAGATATATAGTCTACACTGAGTATTTGCATGGCTGCTCCAAAATGCAAATTGAAGGATTATGCCCCACACTATCTTTGTTAACCACTGGGATTTAAAATATGGATCACGCTAGGTAAAGGAAAAACTGCTATTAGCTCTTGTGGGATTGTTGGGCTGGATTTCTTTCCGTGTTTTCTTACATTCTTAACTGTGAGTAGAATAATGGTTACTGCAATACTCTCTGTCACCATTCATCTCTTCACATGTTGTGCTAAAATTGGTGTTAATGGTGCAAAATACCTCTGGTGTAGTTAAATCTTCTGATGTTGACAGTAACTACATACTCTCGTGGTGCATTGGCCATGCATTCAGTTCAATCTTGTGGTGACACAATGATGGTGACAGATTAAAATCTCTTTGTTACCAGTCCAAAGGTTAGAAGAAAGTTTTTCACTAAGAACGTGGCTAAAGAGTGCACAATTTATTACTACCTCAAGTGACCATAGATGCTGGATCAACAGAGTCATTCAAGAGGGAATTGGGTAAGCACACGAGCAGGTTTTAAAAAATCAAGGGATATGGGGAAAGCGCTGGAAAATAGGATAAATAGAAACCGGCAATTTAAAAAGCAGGTCCAGTGGTACAGACATAAAGAACCAAATGGTCTCCTCTGTGCCTTTGTTTCTATGAATTAGTATGTTATCTGCTAGTATTAAACTGCTGTCTTATCAATGGAGGAGTTTCACACATTATTTAGGAATAATCACAAATGGGATTCAAAAACTACTTGAACGGAATAACCACTGGAAAAAAGGCTGAGACGCAAGTTCTATTTTCTGCAAGGAATTCCCCGTCTGCTACATTGACACACAAGGCTTCTAAAATATTGTAGGACATACAGGGAATCTCTGCAAGTTATCGTATGTTGGCAAGGCACTTTTTTGACTGTTACGTTGTTTGAAGATTTTTTTCAACATCACTCATGAAATACCAAGGAAAGAAAGTACATAATGGTTAAGAGACATGGAAAGTTCATTGTCATTGACCCTACCCTGCTCTTTACCATCTGTTGGTGCAATGTGCGTTCCATTCTCCAAGATCCCCTCACCATCTAAAATAGGCTTCTCCAAGGATAATTTCTGTATGAGACATGATGAATTTTCTATTATCACCAACTCAAAGCCATCCCCACTCATATCATGTATCACAATATATGGTTAAACATTCAAGAAATGGGGAATGGCAGTCATGACAGTGACAGCATCTCTTAAATTGATCCTTTGCCACCATAACATAGAAAATGAACTTGTATATAAATAGCACATCCAATTGCCCAAATAATTATTTTGGAAGTATACAAAAATCTGAGCTGTTTATACCTTTTCTTAAGAACTGTAAAAAGTAATTTGTGATATTACTCCACAAGTGCAAATCAATTGGAGTTTTTTTTTAAATCTTCATCATTATTTTGAGACGTTTATATTCATCTGGAAAACATCTTTAAAGTTTACAATGTGACATTCCACTAGTTGATAAAGTAATCATGGCACAGTTGACTTAAAAAGCAGCTTGACCCTTTGTTGGAAAGACAGAAGGGTGTGTGGTGTGGATGGATGAGATCCGATGGGCTGAAGGGCCTTCTGAAGGGCATCTAAATTAATCTTGTGACCCACTTTCTCATCAGTCCCAAAGTCTCTTGCATCTAACATGCACAAATCCCTGTTTACGTCATGGTGTTTTGCCAGCAATTGTGATGCTGCTGAAGCTCTTTTTAGTGGCCAATGACCTGATCAAGAGTTATCAGAATCCAAGTTATCCACTTAAAGATTCACTAAAAATTTCAAACCCAAAGAAAAGGGTTAGAAAGTTGAAACATCATTCATTACCTTTTCCAGTTCTGCCTTGTTCACAGGAAATATAGTCATGGATCCATCTGTTTCAGTAGTCACATTGAAAAGGACAACAACATCCTTTATCACCTATGATTAAACAAAATATCTGAGTCAGAGCATGAAAATAAATTAAAATTGGAATCAAGGTATACATAGCTATAAATATTCTATAGAGTATTGAATAGCAAGAAAAACTCCCTTCTTTTTTTCAAACAATACCATGGGATCTTTAACATCCACCTAAACCAGCAGATGGGACCCTGATATAATGTTTCCTCAGAACGGTGACACCTCTAATGACATTACCCTTTGAATGCGTGCTACGTAATGAAATCCCTGGTGATGCTTTTTAAAAAACTACAAGAAAGCACTGCTATCAGAGACTCTGTGAAGCTGCCTGGTAGTTCATCAACATTTAAACCATTTAAAACAAAACCATTCTATCAATCTGGTGATTCGGAGGTCAGTTATAAATAGCAATTATTATTATACTTTTTTGGGTGTGGGGAAGAGTTTCTACTCAAATTGTTAATCTGTGTTTTCTTTAAAAACACCATTGAATAGTTTTCTTTTCAGCATTTTAAATTACAAAACCAGACTGTATTTTCTGGCAGGGTTTTAACCTAATGGAAGTAGCAGATCATGTTATTGGAAATTAATTAGACAGATTTACTGGTCACTGCGATAACTGTATTGCAAATGCACCATCAAGCAATAGAAATTTACAGCACAGAAGAAGACCATTCAGTCTATTGTTTCTGTGCCGGTTCTCATTTAATGAATACCCCTGTAACTGACTCCTTTAAGGTATTTATCTAGTTCCCTCTTTAAAGCTATTATGGATTCCTCCTCAACCACTGCATTCCAACTACTCTGTGCGTGAAAAATATTTCTCCTAACCTTCTAACCTCCTAGCTATTTGCTCGTTTACTAACTCTCTTAAATTGATGCCCTCTAGCTACTGACTCACCGAACAGTGATAAATAATCTCTCCCTATTGACTCCATCAAAACCCTTCATAATTTTAAAGACCTCTACTGGGTCACCCCTCAACTTTATTTATTCCAGTGGAAAAAGTCCCAGTTCCTCCAGTCGCTGTTCAAAGGTCAAACCACTCATGCCTGGTATCATCCTAGTAAAACTCCTCTGCACCCTCTGTATCGCCTTGACGTCTTTCCAAAAATGGGGTGACCAATACTGGACACTATATTCTTACTGGGGTGTAACCAACAATTTATATAAGTTGAACATTACCTCTTTGCTTTTATATTCTAAATCCCTATTTACAAAACCTAAAATTCCATTAGCTTTTTTGATAGCTTTTTGCATTGGCTTTTCTGCCTTTAAGTATTTCATCCCCAAGTCCCTTTGGTCTTCCACTCCTTTTAATATTTCACCACCCAACGTATACTTGCGCTCCTTAACCTTCCTCCCAAAATGTATAACTTCACATTTGTCCACATTATATTTCATTTGCTACCACTGTTCTAGATTATGTGCTAAAAGGACCAGTGTGCGAGTTATAACCTCTGACTGAGAGGCCTGAGCACTACCAGTTTACCAAGCTGACCCTTAGTAGGATCTGATGCTATAAACAGACTAAGTTACACTGGGAGGAACAAATCAGCTAGGGTTTTCACTCCCGATTCCCATCCAGTAAAAAATGTGTGTTGGTGTGAATAAGCCAGGATGAAAAACAAGAAGTGATTTGGTTCTTGATGGTCTTACAGTAAAATGGCCTGCCGACACTTATCTGGCTCACACAGAAAAAAAAATCACCACTTGGATGAGATATCAGAGGGTGCCTGACGCCCATAGAAATATAGCCAACTACATTTGATGCCAACTTGTTTGTGTCAACTGATTTAGGAGAGGCTAGAAAGGAACAATATCTCAAGTCAGAAATACTGTCAGGGTTGAGTGAATGCATTTTCTTGTTTATATGCTGAGCAGTAGTTTGTAGAGAATGCTTTTTTAATGTTTAATACAGCAGATAAAATTAGACACAAATTCCATTCTAAGCGCACAATGCCAAGATTTGTAAATTTAAACCAGTGGGGAGTTTTTTTCCCTGTAAATTTATAGTGTCGTGGCGGGGGAGGGGAAGAGAGTAAAAAAAATCTACTGGTCAAATAGGCCATTTGTTTATTTTTATAGTTCATGGAAAAAAATCAATCCAGATTTTATTACTTAGAAAATTGGCAGCAATTATTAAGTAGTGTTGCAAACTTTCCCAGAAGAAGACAAGGGTGTACTAAATACAGCTCACAGCCGATGGAAGTTACTGAGCGACATGCCTTTTCACTGAATAATGAACAGTGGTGATTATTTTCCTTCATAATCTGAAGCCGTTTGTCGTTTTGGGCTGAAATCTAGTCTTATTTTGGTAAGCGTTGTCATTTTTCCCTTAAACGCTCATAAGTAAGCAATTTTCAAGTATAAATAACTGACATTATGATAAATGGCATTAAATATGTAAAATAAAATTCTATGCTAAAATTATGGTCAGGTTATTTTATAAGGAGGAAATAGGGCAAAAAAAGTACCCAACTTACTGAACAAAATTGATGTATTACATGGTGCGATAACAACAACAAAATTACATTTGTATAGTGCCTTTCATAAATGAGAAAATATCCAATACAAAAATCTAATTTGGACCATCAAGCCCTCTTCCTCCAAAGTTCATCTCCTGGGCAAAAAGGTCTGTACAGATACTCACCGATACCTAACTAATCAAGTGTTTATTCAACTCCATATTTCTGGTATTGAACTTCAACTCCACAAAAATCCTTCCCCAATATTAGAAGCACAAAAAATGTCATTCCTTCACTTGTATTTGTTCATCTCAATCCACATCTAACTTTATATCTTCTAGTAACTGTTTACAAGCAAAAATATATCCAGTTCTTTTTGAGATAGATAAACAAGACATTAACTTGTCAGTCTCTCTCGCAAAATAAATAATAACCCTTAAATTGACATTGCACTTCGAACCGCTTTGTAGACAAACATGGCAAACAATTTCCACACACGAATCCCCCATAAACAGCAATGAAGTAAATGACCGTTTTTATTAAAAATGCTAATTCAGTGGACAATCCATTATGACTTAGTTGTTATGAATTCAGTCAATATTCAGACAGTGTAAATAATTAACAGTCAGAGGTCTGACACCAATTGAAATATACTACTTCCACTATCTATGGGAATGATACAACAGATGCCAAATATGCAAATGTTTGAAAACAAACAATTGCAAACCTTCTTCAGCTTATAAACTGCCATTTACATTTTTTTTTAAAAAAAGGAGAGCAGAGATGAATCACACATTGGAGAAAATAAATCAGAATATAGTGCCTTATCGCTCATCAAGACATCTCAAACGCTTCACAGGATTTGATGTGAAGTGGATTGATTGTGTATTTTGTAGGAAAAACACCACATAGATAATATAATTATGGGCAGTTTGTCAAAAAAGCTTTCAAACATGAAGAAACACCAAAAAAAATTATGTGCAGTAGATATTAATTCTATAATTTTGTTCTAAACAGAGAAGAGTCTCTTCTGGATAAACAGAACACATTGCTCTTTTAGTGAAACTATTTGCCTCGACTTATCTGAAATCTAGCTTCCGGGAAGTTTTGTTACCGGATGTTTCCCAATAAGTGCAGCTACTGAAAGAATATGCACTGACCTTCCCTTGACTTGGATTTCTCAGCTGCTAATTGTCCTGATAAAGCTATACATGCAGCCCTTGGAGATGAAGGGGCTTTGCACCTACATTAACAACAACAACAACTTGCATTTATGTAGCAACCTTTCAAGTCGGGACATCCTCCCAACGTGAAAGGTGCTTTACAAATGTAATTTTGTATTGTATTGTATATGGGGTAGTGTCTTGGAGTGCTTATTGAGTCAGGGAGATTGAGGAGGTGACTATAGGCACAGCCGACAAGAATGGTCTTCAGATGTGATCTGAAGACGGACAAAGAGGGGACAAGGCTGAGGGATTGAGGCAGAGTTCCAGAATCATGGGCATAGAGGCTGAAAGCAGGGCCATGAATGGTGAAGTGGAGGAGATGAGGGATATGAAGGAGGTAAGGGAGTATCTTATATTTTATTCTTTATCGATAGATTTCGACCACTTCCTCTCTGACAAACGTTTCAACTTTTGTTGACATCTATGGTGGACAGTCAGTCTTCTGAACACTATTGTGTAGGCATACTAATGTGCTGGAGGTAAGTAGTAAACCCATCAGTAATATGAAGATCCAAGGTTAATGGGTAAGACATCATTGTGGTGATGATCACTCTTCCAAGACTGTTTGTGAGACATCGCTATGCGCAAATTAGTACCGTATTTGCTTACAAATCACAGTCATTACACTTTATAGTAAATCTTTTGAAGTATTTTGAGACATCGATGACGCAACATTATTATTACAATAGGAGAGGGAGGTTCAGAGAACTATAGCCATTGCAACATCCATAACAAAGAAAGGCAAGAAAGGTTGAAAAGTTCTGAATCGTACTTCGTTTTAAGATTAAAGTGAAAGTGCAATGGCCAGGATTTTCTGCACACAGCTGGAAATGGAATACACCAATTATTTTCCTTCGCGTGAGATCTTTAGCACAAGGAAATCAAATCAAATGACTTCCCAAGTGCTCCATGACATCAAGTGTTTCACCTGCTCAACTATTTCGGTGATCTCTTTCATATTTTGGGGCAATGCCTCTTTTTTTTGCGGTCAAAACCTTTGACTGAACTCCCAATGTAAATTTACCAATGCTTGCCTGCATCAACGGTGCTCCATGTGACTGTTCCTGATATATAAAGAAATCCTACAACATACTCAAATACTTGGCAATGTCACAAAACATTTGTAATGTTTTTGCTAGAAAGTGAACCAGCGCTGGAACTAATTCCTTTGCTCCCAGGCCAAAAATGGATACAGTTTGTCACAGAAAGTCTCTCTCATGCTCCCAGGAGCAGCAGCAAACTGACTGATGTGCTTGATGAGAGGAAACGACTGGCTTGAGGGGTACTTTAATGGGGTTGGGGGGAAGCCACATGCTGGAATGACACTATAATCTGTGCTTAAATGGACAGTTGTGATGATAGTTGCCTATTGTGGGCTACTCTGAATGTGGATGATTATCCACGGTATGCTGGGAAGAAATGAATGAAGCATACGGTTTTGTTTAAGCACTGTATTGCATTAGCTTCAAATTCATAAGCATAAGAGTAAAAGAGCAGCTGCAGCACAGACTGAAAAAAAAGGTCTTCACTGCCAAGGGAAGGAATCGAATATTACTAGAAAACTACATGTGTTCAAATCTGTGTTCTAGATCTACCCAGAGCACCAGAGATGTATTGAAACAGCCCAATGCAAATATCTGGCGGTGAATTGCTCGTTCTGTGTATTATATTTGCTAAGGTTTTGAAATGTAAGTATAAGTATACATTAAATAATTGTTGACATTGCTGTAAATTGTATGACAAAAAAAATAAAAGGGAGAATGCATATAAAATTAAGAAATACTTTACTGTTTTTTAGAACAAAATCCCCGGTTCAAAAACAATCTGATTTAGTTCACAGGCAAATATTGTGTTGTTTGCTCCATGGAGTACAACATGGTACCTGAACTCATTAATGCCACTGGAAGGCAGTCCTAAACAGAGGTCAGGTGCTGCTCCCATGCCATGGGAAAAGAGCTCTAAGAAACAGTCCTACCCAGGTTGTTTCCATGCACTTCCATTGCATCATAGTAAGTTTGACACTAGCTTATTGTGATGACTGAAAAAAGGTTGCTGTGTGGCCAGTTAGGAAAGGGGGCCAAAATAATAATCCTTGGTTTGTTATAGCACCTCACCACGATGTCAAAACATCTCAAAGCACCTTACATGATTTACTGTGAAGTGTGCACAGCAATGTCTCATAAACTGCCATGAAGTGAATCACCAATTTTATCTGAGAAAATTGTTGGCCAGCACACCAAGAAAAACTCCCTTCTTTTTGAATAGTGCCATGGTATCTTTAACAGCCCCCGAGCAGCTGGCGATAGGACCTCGGTTTATGTTCTGTAACAAAGGACCTTTGATAGCGCAACTCTCCCCCAGCAATGCACTGGAGTTTCAGCAGAGATGACAAGCTCCAAATCTCCTTGTGAATCCACAACCCTATGACCCAGAGGTGAGAATGCTACCACGTGATTTGGATTGACACCATGATCTAAATCGAGGGGACAATTACACACAAGGATTAAATCAATATATTCAATTTTTTTACAAAGTGTATGTGTGTGTGTATATAGGGTTGAGGGGGTAAAAGAAATGGGGAAAAAATGCTGCTCTGTTCATAATCCTCAAACTCCCACCACAGCTTCTAATTACGACAAAGTTAGCCACGCTCAGCAGGTTCCAAGAGCAGTTTTCTTGAAGGAAAATACTCTGTATGTCTGTGGTAACAGAGTATTCCATCACTTTCTGCCACAAGCCTGATGTCTTCTCATGTCTGCACCAACCACCAGTAGTTATTGACTTTGTGGAAAGAGTGGAAGAAATACTATCCATCCCACTGGGCATTGAACTTGGACTCTTAAAATCATTTTACACAGGCACAGTGCCGTGTCTGGCCACCACTGGATAAAAAAAACCTGCTGAATCAGAATGCCAAAGCTAATTCGGTTTCCAAGTTTCATGAATGTGTCCTGCAGTGCCTGCTCCATGGGTTTAACTGCTTCATGCTTGCAAATAAGGCCAGAGCTTAATAAACCAACTGTACCTGTTTTGGTTATAAATTGACATCATTAGGATTACAAATCAGACAGACAGGCTGCACAACCTCGATTTTGTTGAGATGAACATGTAAAGCAGCCAATGGTTTAGAATTTGAGCTGAATAGTTAAGTTGTTCAAAATATAGAAGGCCGTAAATTGTTTGTTTGAGACAGCAATCAACCAAAAAAAAGTGGTAAAAAGGGAACAATGAAGATGTAAACTGCTGTGCCACAGGCAATTGTAGTGTAAGATTCACACAGTTTTTGTTGTGGTGGTGGGGCTGCCCAATGTTTCAACCTGCCGGGAATTGAACCCAGGTCCTCTCGCTTACGAGGCGAGCAATCTAACCCCTAAACTAGGCTGTAATCTTTTCTGCCAGAAAAAAAAATCGTCAGTAGATGAGAAAGAAATCATGTCCTGCCAGACCTCTTTTAAATCCTTTCACACACCTTTCCTTTTTTCTGTTTGTAGTGAGTCCTCCATTGACTGACCGCTGCAATACTCAACATTACCCAATCTGCCCAATTTACATTCATATTTACATGCACACAATAATATACAGTTAATTCACTTTACAGTACATTCTGTGAAGCTCTTTGAGATGTCTAGAAGACATGAAAAGCGTTATATCAAATGCAAGGGTCATTATTAATATATTAAATATCACGGATTATTGGTATTAAACATCACAGGATAGTAGAGCTTTGTTACATTGCTGTTGTTCGGAGTCCATAAAATGACAGTTACTTGAATTTTTTTTACCAGGATCAAGGTTAGTAAAGTCAAGTGAGTTTACAGCTAGTCTTTGGTACATGAAAGACATTATATAAATGTAATAATTGCATTGTATTGTCAATAGAAATTGGGACAGAAGTGTAAAGTGTTGAACAAGTCATTATATCAGAATAGAATTATCCGAACTGGAACACAGTGGAACATGGTTATATCCCCTCAATACTGTCAGAAGATTTTGGATTCAATTCCAACAGTAAAGTGATTAGAAGCAGAAACATCATGTGTATGTCCACCCGACCCCAGTGTGTTGTGGCCAATTGTAGCAACCCTGGCTAAGATCAGCCAACTAAACCAGTCTGGGCATCAATCTTGGGACTGTTCCGATCTGCTTGGCTCATCTACTCACTCTATCATATTATCGCTGATTATCTGTTCATCTCTATACCATTTATCAATGAAGCCGCTTTTGCGACTTAGAAGTTAAGTTCCCAGAACAGATTCTACACTTTTTGTGTTTTTTTTTAAAAAAAACGTGATAATTGTAGTAAATAAGACTGGTATCAAAATGATCGTATCTTTACTATTTTTATTTAACTCCTGTGAGTACAGTTGGGGAACTATTAGGGTGTATGATAATTTTAGTATCTCAATCTATAACCTCACCAGGTTGTGTCACAAACCACACAGATATAGTTCTTAATGCATCCCCCAACCTATGTGTATGACACCAGGTAAAATCCCTCAGTAAAGTTAATGTTGGAATATTCAATGGGAAGAGAGAGCTTGTGTTTTTTTTAAGATATAAAAAATCTACACTTGCATAACTACACTTATCAAACAACAGACAAAAAATACTGATAATTTATGGTTCACCAATTGGTCATTCTGCAAGTACAAGCAGTAAAAAAAAGTTTGAAATAAAAATGAATTTTACGGAACAAAAAATTCTTAGTATTCATTGCAGTGATTCTTACCTTTAACCACTCCTCTGCCTGCTCTTTACTTTGCACAGCCAGGACCAATATATCTGCCCCTTGGTGAGTGATGCGCAGTTCATGCTTTTTCTTCTTGCCGTCTTTGGGGACGTAAGAGAAGCTGTGGCCTGTCAGCAACAGCTCCATCTGAGGTTGATGGTCCTTGGAGCTTTTGTAGCACTAAAACCAAAGAGAAAACATAAGCTCATTGTGCACTTACATCTAATGTTTTCGAAAGAACATGAACAATTTGTTGAAGTTACTAAAATAGGGAGAGCACTGGAGAGGGGAAATGAATGATGCAGCAAATGAGTTTCAGAAAGTCGCAAGCTTGCAAAGCCATGGCACAGGTACTGTACATGGCAAATGAAATTCACCACTGATATATGCCAAGTATTGGTCAAAAAATTTGTGCGTCATAAGTATATAATGAATGCGATTGAAATTCAAAAGGGACTTGGAATTGATGGTAGTCTTTTCATTCTCAATGCCAGCATAATCCGTTTAAAATAATTGGCAGGAATAAAAGAAATAACTTGGTTGTTTAGCTAGAACAGTGGGGTATAAGTCTTCAGAGGTTATGCTTAGAAACTAGCAAAATTAGTTTATTTGAGTGTGGAATTCTTGTCACCATATTCCAAGTAAACTTACGGGTGAAAATTGGGACATTTCATTTCCATAATAGATTCAATATATTTGAAGTTGAACTTGGGTTATGAAGGAACATTTTGTTCCATGTATTGACTGGCTGTGGAACTGAGCCTTCCCTCCACTAACCCCACCCCACCACCACATTGCACAAAAGGTTGATTTCCAAATAAAATTGGACGACATCTTACTGTCACTTAGGAAGCCCCAATTTATGTTTTGATCCTGGAACCGTCATTTGAGTGTTGTTTTTAGATGATTTATGAATAAGTCAGCTTAATCCATGTAAATAGCAAACAAAATAATTTTATTCATCAGTGAAAATGTTAAGTCAACGGGAAGGAAAGAACACAGAGGGTACGCTACCCTCAAGCTAAAAGGAACCTACTAATAGCTTGTTGTCTTTGATGACGCAAAGTTGTTTTGTCCACTGTCCAAAGCGTTTCTTGCGTAGAAGAAACGCACAAATCTTAGCATCTTTCACCAAATCCATCGAGGCTTCCTCAGATGGCCACTGGTGTCTTAGTTTTTTTCCCTTCCCATCCTCATCATCCTCATCATATGATTCATAGGAGCTACTCATTGCATCGGAATCATAATCTGTAAGAAAAAAAAACATGTGAAAGCCTGGCTCAAAACACTGAGTTAGTTAGGTTTGGTACCAGAGTGTACCAAGGTACCAGAGTGACAGTATAACTACTGATAAAAGATGATCTTAGTTGGCACTGTAGCCAATTTGCATTTTTGTGAACATTACCAGCACTTGTTACCATAACCACAATACTTGGGTCCAATTTGTGAGATTCAGAAAAGTATTGAAAAATATTGACTCCTGCACATATCTGGATGTGACTCAATGCAAACTGATGCTGATTTGCTGACAAGGTCAGGAGTCTCTTTTGCCTAAGATCCAGGTTTACAAAAATCAGAAACGAGTTCTGCATTCCATAACACTCAATAACAGAAGGGAGGTTTCCCCAATGCCTGGCCAATAATCCCCTAATAAAATTGGTCATTCACACTGTAGCTGTTTGTGGGACATTGATATGTTGAAATTGACTGCTGTGTTCACCTACAAATTACGCAGTAATTATACTTTATAATAAACACTGTGAAGTGCTTTGAGACATCCTCCTGATGCGAAAAGTGCTGTATCAATGTTATATTTTTTAATTGAACCCCTCTATAGATTCATGATGTTTACACCTTCTTCTAATATTCATTATATTTGTAGCATAAAACCACCTTATAATTAGAAAAAAGTGAAGAATATCTAGTTCTTACACAATATAATTCAATTTGATTCCCTGGAGGTTAAAGCAAACATGAAAGACTGGTCCAGTGAATGCTTCATAGTACTGACGCTTACCTCTGGAAGTAATGTACTCGGGAGCTTTTCCTGGACTCAGGGGCACCGCTTCCTCATAATAGCCTTCAGGTAAGGATGAAGTTGGGAGTGGAGGTGGGCTGTTTTCTGGTGGCTGAAGGACACAAAGAATCAATGTTAGCCGTGGTGATTTTACACCAATGTTTTACTGTAGAGAACTGCTGAAATACCTTACTAGGCAATAGAAAGCACAGCGAATATAAACAAGGAAATCTGTACTGCACATTTCTAATCATAATAATAATAATCCTTGCAATTGCAGAAACAAGATCAGTCATCCTTGAACACGTCTTGGATGTAGATGACAACTTGTACCTATATAGAGCCCTTCACGCAGGATAGCATTTCGGAGTATTGAAAGATACTGGAAAAAAGGAACCCATATGTATGTACATATATATATGTACATATACATTCCTTTGTATATGCAGCCATTTTGCCCCCAGGGAATAGACCTGTTCTCAGACAAGTGCCAATCCTGTGCTGCTCCTTATACCCGTAATAGTACATGACTGATGAACGTTGAACTAATCCCTTGAATTTCTGGTCCTGTTGGTGTAACCTTATGAATTACATATTCCCACTATTAAAAAAATAAGTTCCTGTTGTTGACACCAGTGGTAAATACAATTCATTCTGTGCAAGACAAATCAAATTAGAATTTAGTGAGTGAAATGAGTTCGTCTCAGAGGATCTGCAAGGGAATAGGTGTTTTTGAAAGTGCAAACATCACAGTGCTGCAGAGCCAGGTCATTATTTGAGGGTAACTACACACAGGGCATGCAGCACACACGCAGGAAATGATATCATCAATAACCCTCGTGACCTGGAAACCCTGACCGGCAACCATTTTTATGGTGTGACCCAATAAAAATACTAGGTCTGATTTTATGGACCCAAACCATCAAGTTTAACAAGGTCTAACTGTAATTTGTAACATTTTCAAATACTAAAAGACACAGCAGGGTCTTACACAGAAATGCACAGAACTAAATGCGTTAGTTCCTGCTTTTGGGAAAAGAGCTTAAACTCACCCATTGCCTTTTGTATTTGAAAATCTTTGTGAGCTCTTACTTGAAGAAAGGAGTGACCAGATAAGCTCCATAACTCAGAGGATAAGTGTTCTATCTAGTGCGAGATGGAACATTAACTCACCTTCAAAGAGGAAAAACTCATGAGTGAGATACTACAGAGCTGCAAACTCACTCTCTCTCAAACCTAAGTTACCAAATATGAACCAGATCCTACTTTAAAATGCTCCACCCAGAAACCAAGCATCTAATTTTTTGGATTGAAAAGCCTTAAGAACAAAAAAAAGTCACTAAAAAAGCAAAACATTTGATGCACATTGCTAATGTGCCAATATGTAGATTTCCTCAATTCTACTTCATTTTTTTAATCATCACTTAACTATGAAGGATTAGCACTTTCATTGAAAGAAAACCTGAAAAGTTCCCATATCAACCATGAGAAATACTTAGGGCGGCATAAAGAGAAATGTAAAACAATATCATCAAAGTATATTGAAATATTGGAATATATGTATGGGCTATTACATGAACTGCAAATAAGTTAACCTATTCCTTTACTGCAAAATAATGTAAAGATTTCATGAGTCTTTCTGACTCAGTTGCTGAAAATATTAGATCATCTATTTTATAATCCCATTACTGGAAGGAAACATCAAGCAAGAGTGTTGACAGAGCCATCCTATATCACGCAGTGCAGGGAACAATAAATCAATTTCTCTCTTTAACATCTGCCAATACTATGACAGTCTGAATAAATTGTAGCACCAACAAAAATAGCCTTTCACAACAATTTCCAACTAACTTGCTGTGTAGTGACAATGCACGCTACAAGCAGACTGGAAGAATATACTATATTGCGGGTTAAGAAAAATAATCCTATTGTGTTTACAATGATCACTTTGTTGAGATGTCTCAAAGCTCTTCACAGTATTTTACCATGAGGTGTAGCGACTGTGTATTTGTCGGGAAAAGCAGCAGCCAATGTATGCACTGCAATATCCCATAAACAGCCATGAAGTTAGTGCAATTTTATTTGGGGGAATTGGCAGCCAGGACACTGGGAGAAAATCCCTTCTCTTTATGAAGAGTGCCTTGGGATCTTTAACATTCATCTGAACAGGCACTCTGAGCACAATTTTGGAGTCTCAGCCTGGACTGAGTTCAAAGTCTCGATGTGAGGCCTGTGTGTCAAGTTGCCGTTGTCTTATCTCTTTCTTACATGTTTATCTTACCTCTCCCCTTTTCCCAGATCCCCTGGTAGAGAGAGAAGTGTGGGCAACTGGTCGTAGATTGTTGCCAATTGAAAGTCGCACAAGAGCATTTAGGCACACATACCCATTGAACTGTCACTACCAATTTAATAATAGAACAGAATTTATGCTCATGTGAAAATTTAAAGCATCGCTCTGTACCCCAATACAGTATCAAGGTCACCACTTGATCTCCAAACGATTTGATTTTGAAGCATGACGGGGATGATTTCTTTGCTTGCCTGAATTTCAATTGGTCTTTGATGAAATATGCCTATTTTTTCTCTGCTTTCATGCTTAATTTCATCAACCCATTAGCAGGAAGGGTATATTATTCTCCTCCACTTGCCACAAAACGTACCATGCTTTGGGAAGGTAGACTTCATCAGGTTAAGCAACTTCAGTATGAGAATGCTATTACGGTGGGAGTAGAACATCTCATTCCCACACATTCCTGTTACAATATAATACATTTCCCTCTGCAAGCAACATCCTTTGCACCATTTTAGAAATATGTAAGATATACCAAAATATATGGCAATATATGCAGCTATTGAAATTGAGAATGCATTAGGCTTAGTTGAGCTCTATGTATCTAACCTTTCGAAATTTCCCCCTCTACCCTTTCTAACCCCCTCGTTATTTATCTTTAAGTTCCACCTTAAAACCTACCTCTTCAGCTATACCACAGGGTTACCTCTTCTCACTTCCCCCTCCAGCTCTCACCTCTCTCTTGCCATCAATTTTCTTTTTCATGATTCAATGCAGCTGGTAAGTGCGGGAGTAATGGAGGTTACAGGAGCGGAGTTACGAGTTAGGAGATGATAAATACCCCTAGTGCAAAGAAATCTAGGTGGTTTTGATAGGAAACTAAATGGGACTCAGGTGCACGTACAACTTAGGTGATTTTACAATTCATCAAGATTACAGTGTTACTGTATTATATCCAATTCTAGTCTCCACATTACAAGGAGGATATAACACCGATGGAAAGAGTGCGGCATAGGTTTACGAGGATGATATCAAGGCTGGCAGGTAACTGCTATCAGGATAGCCTGGATACGTTGGGCCTTTTTTCATTAGAGAAGAGACATTTAAGTGGAACTCATTCCTTGAAGTGGCGGTTGAATCTGATAATATTGATGCTTTCAATAGGAAACTAGATCATCACATGACAGAGAGAGGAATAGAAGGGTTTAGGAAGGAATAAGGAAGAGGCGAAGACTCACGTGGTGTATAAACACCGGCACAGACTTGTTGGGCCAAGTGCCCCGTTTCCATGCTGTAAAATAAAATCTTATTTTTTTTCTTTAAAAATAGCCAAATTCCATTTCCTCAATATGCTGAAACTTGCACTGTTTGCAGAAATGGGGTTGCTTCTGGAGAAATTAAACTTAATCTTTAGGGAGCTTTGTCTTGTCATGTTACATCTGCTTTAATATCCTTTTGAAAGTAACAGATAATAATAATCTCTGCATTTGATAAGAGTTCCTTATCGCGCATTGAAACATCTCAAAGAGCGTTACGGAATATACTGTAAAGTTAATTGACTGTATATTTTGTGGGCGAAACGAGGCAGCCAATTGTGCACAGCAGTGTCCCACAAACAAGTCGTGGATTGAGTGACCAAATTTTTTTTTTTTTTGAAGGGATTATTACCCCGGAAAAACGATCCGTCAACCTAACAACCGGCTTCCAATTACTGCTAAATAACCAGAGGTGTGTGGAGTAAAGAAACTTGCCTAACATTTTGCCCTGGCCGAGAATCGAACCCAGGTCCTCTCGCTTGCGAGGCGAGTGCTCTAACCACTAAGCTCAGGACAAAGTGTGTGATTACTGCAATGAACAATGTAAGATGAATATCCCCCAGTGAGCTTCAACTGACTCAGCTCAACTTTGTTTAATAAGTTAGGGATGATCAGTTTGCTGATAAAAGTGGAAAGCCACAGGAGGGATAACTTCTGGATGAAATACAGATTCCAAATCCAATGACATTCAGCCAATGTAAGAAAAAAAAGTAATGAAAACAGAAACATTGGAAATTCACAGCAAGTCAATCAGAATATAAAGGGCACACCCAAAACTTTGACCTTTTTTGCCATTCAGATGCTGGTTGGCTCGATGTCAATTTCCAGCATTTTCTGCTTTTATTAATGATTTCCAGGTTTCAGTTTTTCTTTCTCCAAAATATAAAAAACAAAATTGGTCATTTACTTCAAGGCTGTTTGTGGGACATTGCTGTGTGCAAATTGGACTGCTGCATTCACCTGTAAAATACCAAATCTCCTGTGAAGCACTTTGAAACGCATTCCGGATATGAAAGCAACATATCAAGTACAAGGATTGTTGTTTGTTATAAAAATCTGTGGTTTATCTGAATTCAAATGATTCAGATGGATGAGAAATTTGCTGTGTGTTTGTACAACGAGACAATTTGCTGAGTTTTTTTTTCTTCTGCACACATGCTGTTGAACATTCAACTTTTGGACAAGAGCTTTCCCCCACTTTTCACTCATTTCCAACTTCTGCAGCTGGAAGGAGTGAATCTTGGGTGGCTGACTCTTACAATTTGTGTTGCCAAACTGGGCCTGTCTGATTTCTTGACTTTTCATGGTGGTCTCGCAGTTAAGCACAAAGTACTCATTTCTGTGGTGTTCCTGCGGGTATTTTTATCTATTTCCCCGTAGAAAAGTGAAGGGGCCATGTAGCAAAACCATTTGTTTCTCAATATAACAGAATATCCACTAAAGACATTTACTTTCCTAGCAATATAAGGTGGGGCATCCATCTGAGATTGTACTTTCCATTTTGGC